AAACTTCCAAATATTCCGAATACAGTTATATGGGTATGTACGTGTACGAATTCCAAATAAGAAGTTCATATGATTCTGTTGTAGCTAAAATAATTCAGGTGAAAATGTGGCTTAAATCATTAAAATACCCAATATAGGGAGCTATTAGAGGTATATATGAAAACTATACGAAGTTGTGGATCTATTCATTAAACTTTCTATTATATGAAGTAGTACTCATTACGAACGCCAAGTACCAAATTTAAAACAATTCCGGCAAAAATCCTCATAAAAGTGTCTAATATAGGTAGGTACCCTTGTATGGAACCTATACGAAAACGTGGACCTCTATAGCCAAAGAAGGCGGTGGCTATTACGAACTCTAAATACAAAATTATTATAATTCTGTTGAAGAATGTCGCAAAAATTATGCAAATATCGAATTCGAGTGGTACACTGGGGCTACCTGAAAACGAGGAATTCCAAATACCAAATTTGAAACAATTCAGTTGAAAAGTGTGACTAACATCACCAACATATCGAATATGAGATATATATGAAAACTGTACCAAAATTGGAACTCATATAGACAGTTCTATGCAAGGATGTTTCCTACAGACTGGGAACGCTGCCAATTCGTGTTAAAATTTTAACTAAAAGGTAAAGTAGCAAGGGTGCTATAACAAAACGTGGACATATATAGCCTTTTGTCAATACCCAAAGTTCTACGGCCATAAAATACATCATCCATAATATGGTTGAGGGTATAAACTTTTGAGCCAAACTTCACTGTTATTTCAAAAAAAAATATACTTTTAAGGTGTTGCAATAGGAATGAAATATGGTAGTAAACTCAGAAATAAACAATTTTTATGTTTTTTCTATTTATATTTTATCCATTGGTCTCTCCGAAATGGGTTTGAATGGCATTTCTGGCTATGTCAGTGCTTTCTATATGTAGACAGGTGTTATTTTTAAATAAAATTGATATTCTGGGTCATATTCTTTAAAGTATTCAATGGAACGCGTGACCTCAGGATAGTGTCAATAAAGGTAACCAATCTATATAAGAACCTATTTTTGTTCGGGTCAACTCCCCTCAGATTCCTGTGCACTAAATTTGGTTGTTTTAATTTACCATTCCTATCTCATAATCATCTGTCATAACAGCACAGCAGTCCATCGGCGATTTCTTTTGTCGGCATAAAATCCAATTGTTTTTATTGCACACCACCATAATGTCCTATCGACAACAGTCTTTCCCTCAGTACCCCATTTTTGTGTTAAACTCAAGTACCTGTACCAAATTCCATTAATATGGAGTTGATTGTCTGAATTAAAAAAAAAACGATCATATGAAAAAAATACTAATCAATTCTTATCTATACCAAGAAAAAAAATAAGACAACAATTGATCAATGCAGAAATGAAATTATTAACAACAAATTATCAAATATGACGTTTTTTTGTCACCTTTATATTCTGATGAACATTATGATAATGGCGGGAGCTAGAGGGCTTGTCGAATATTATCAGTGATTGCTCTTAAAAAAAGTAAAGAAAAAATATGAAATGTTTGTTTGCTGTCGTGTAATCTATATGCTCTACTACTAGGCAATGTCCGGCGCTGCGGCACACGCTAACTCTAAACGCCAACAACAACAAACAGTCTCAAGCGCTGTTTCCAAAAAACCAAAAGTGACAACTTATCACAAGTGAATTCAGTCATTCATTCGGATTTTAAACGCGTTACAGAACGCTACAAAAAGCGCTCTGACTTCTGCCTGCTATTCAAACTGGACGAAAAAGATTGTTTCATTTATAAAATGGCAGACGATATTGAAGGTGTGCAAAAGTTTAATATTAATTAGTTAAATTTTAAATCCATCAAATGCATAAGTTTAAGAAAAAATTTAAATTATATTACTTTTTTAAACAATAGTGGGAATTTATTTAGCCGGAATCATATCGCTTGTCGGTTACATTGTAAAACGTGATTTTAATTTAGAAACGGAGTGCGTCGTTGTCAGTTGGAATTGTTTAAATAATTACAAATTGTTTTCGTTTGATGGCCACATTGCTTAGTATGGATAACCGGAAGATTAAATACAATTTGAAATTATTATGTAGTGCGATGAGAAGATTTAATTGTTTTGATTGTGAAGATGAAGCGATAAACTTTGACATGCACATGTACAATGAAACAGCAGACGTTTTTTTTTTGTTTTTGAAAATTATGCCAAGTGAAAATACAAAAGAGAAATAAGGAACCTGTTGCTAACTCTCTCTCCCTCAGTCTCTGACATCACAACAATAAGAGACGACACCACTTAATGATTCCAATGTCGCCGCCAGTTAGCCACTTACCAGCCGCGGTGGCACAGTGAGTGATAAACGTAATGAGTAATCAATATGAGTGTGCATCTTTTTTTTATTTGATTAAACACACCTATAACCGATTAATGTGATAAATTATAAAATTAAAAACAAATATTCGTCGGGAAAAATGTTATCATTATGAAAACAAGGACCTTTTGTGAAAAATGTACTTCAACGCACATGTGCCTTGCGCCTTACCTTAAAGTACACAAATATTGGCGCCATTAAAAAGAATGTAATATTCGTAATTAAAAAAAAACGATTTTACTTGAAAGATTCAATGAAATGAAAGTGAGGTTGAAGAAAATAGGGATTCTTAATTCATCGATTTTTTTTAAAAGATTTTATTGAATATGGACCTGGTGAGCGTCAAGGCGAAGTTGCTTTTTTAAAGAATTAAGTCGAGGCATTGTGAACGAGCTTAAGGGAGACTTTGTCTAAAGATTTCTATATTTATAGACAACCTCAAGGTCTCCTTACAAACAAACGGGACTGCAAATTTGTGATTCTGTTATTTCAAATAAAAATTATACTTTTTAAGGACTCGGATGAGGTGTTGGAATCATAAAAACATTTTTTAGATAGAAACACGTCTATCCTCGTAAACTCAAAAATCGCAACTTTTCTCCACGTCAGGGAGTTTCAGTCAAGGACTACTGAAGGCTTAAGCCATGGAATTTCAAAAAGAATTGTGAAAAAACGCGTTTGTAAAATTAAATATTGGACTTTTTATTCAAATTGTGGATTTTGCTCATGATTTTCTTACGAAAAAAGTCGAACTGAATTTTAAATAATCCTCTCTGTTCGTCCTTAGACCTTTATGTCTATTTCGATGGGCTAGATATCAGGGAATCAGGATACTCATTTGTTTTATTCAAATTGTGAATTTTAATCATGATTTTCTTGTGAAAAGGTCTATGGACGAACGGAAGGGATTAGTTAAAGTCGAACCTTAGGTAGTATTTTTAGATGGGCTAAATGTCGAGGAATCAGACACTCATTTGTTTTTTTTTTTTTTCTAGAATTTAGAAAATACTGAGCAAATAGTTTTTTTAATTGTAAAATATTCGATACCAATAATTAGGACTCAAATTGTGCATACTCAAAAAGAATCGCCGTAGTCTTGAATCATGGAACCCCCGCCGATGCCTTAAATCAGGCATTGTGAGAGAAAATTCATTAGCATTCATTAATTTTGTTGTGAAAGAATTTTATTTTTAAAAATTCAAGTTAGTTCCACAACTGAAATGTGAAATCATGAAATTTTAAAGGGTATTTAAGAAGCACCATTGGAGCCTTCAATTTTGACTCATCAGTTTATTGGGTCATCCTATCGTGATTCTTAGATCAAACCGGTCTTATATTCCTTGTACCTAGTGTTTCCAAGAGACATTTTTAACCAACTGTGATGTGAGACTTTTTTAAAGTAGCTGATATAATAGATTATCGGTGGTTCGGCAGATTTATCGATTGCGTCGTTCCCAACTTTTTGTGAACTCTCGCCTTTCAATATTTTTGCAATAACGAATGACACTCGATTTGATGGCATTTGACCTAATAGCTTTAAGGACCGTCTCTGGCTCTAGTTCTGTTATGCTATTGCAAAATTCTCCAACCATTCGGCTGTCTTCTTAATTGCCAGAATCTCTGCCTTAAAACGCTACAAATGTCATTCACTTTGTATGAGCATCTAATAATTGGTTTTAATTTAAAAGTATTTTAAAAGGACCACTGGAAGAAGTAGTACCATCCAGTCCAGGTTATTTTTTAATTTATCAGTTGTTGGGTATGGAAAATGATTTCCTTTGGGGAAGTGAATTTGCTGCTCTAGTGGGATACATAAACATTCGGATATGAGGCGTTCTGTCAGAAAGGCTTGGAATAGCGTTCAATTTGTTATTTTTTTAATTTATCAGTTGTTGGGTGTGGAAAATTATTTCCTTTAGGGAAGTGAATTTGCTCTAGTGGGATACAGAAACATTCGGATGTGGGGCGTTGAAATAAAAGAATTAAATTGGATTAAAAGATAAATTGGTTTGAGCCCAAAGTTGAAGCTGTCAATTATTACAGCATTAAGAATAATATTCAAATAAAAATATTTAATTCACTCTTTGTTTTACTATTGTGTTCAATTTGTGGGTGTTGGGAAATGTTTCGGTTATTTCGCCTGTTTCTTTACATTTTCCAATATTTTGTTTGATATCATCACCTGCGACATTACACATAATTAAAATTTCTCAATACTTGAATTGGAATTTCCCAAAAAATATTGTTTCCAAAGCAAACAACTCTTTCCCAAAAAAAACGTGAAGAAGTTTGAATAAACATTTCCAACCTCCTGTTTCTTGACATATCTTATCAATCAAACAACAAAAAATTTAGAAATCATAAAATATTTAAAATGTTACACTTCCCATATTATTATCATTTTCAAACAAATATTTACACAAGATTTATATTATTCAAAAGAAATATTAAACAAGTGTCACACATGCATGCAGCAGAGCACAATTAACACGCTTTGTTTGTAGGAATTTTTGTGTGGGTTTTGAGGAAAAAACGGGGCAACATTTTGAAATAACTGTAAGAACGACAGAGGACATTGACACAAAAAAATAAGAGGTATTGGGTTTTGATCAACGTTGATTTGGTCGCGGAAAACAGCGCAATATTTAAATACAAACATGTAAAGCAAATTGCGAGCATTGACACAAAAATATAAAGAATCAGTGGGTCACATAACGTCATATCATTAATCAAAAATAAAAACAAAAGAAAAAAATATTTCAAACTTTGGGAAAATTCCCAAAATTATAGGGATTTCAAAAATAAGCCCCCCTGATAACACACAAATTGATAGATTGTTTTTGGTATGCAAACTATTTCCATGAAATTAACTAAATTTCCAGTCAAATGGCGTAAAGTGAATAACAAAGAAACCGGCAATTATTTCATTACTGTTGGGAATCAACCATGTGCAGCAAAAATAATTATATTTTAATTAATTTTTTTGTTCTTTTATTGCTTTTCTTTCTTTTTGTAGCAAAATTATATCACGAGGATTTGCCAAACATTGGACGAATAGCAAAAAATCGCACCAAACAATGCTGCCAGCCATCGACATTGAAGAAGTTTCTACCAATTCTAGATTGGTTACCCAAATATAATTTCAGCTTTTTAATAGCTGATTTGGTAGCTGGTCTGACAGTGGGTCTTACCGCCATACCCCAGGCCATTGCATATGGCTCGGTGGCTGGTTTGCCAACACAATATGGTTTATATTCAGCATTTATGGGATGTTTTGTTTATATTGTATTGGGCACCTGTAAGGACATTACAGTGGGTAAGATGGAACAAATTTGTTTTCAAAAATATGAAAAATTAATTTTTTTTTTTTTGCATTTTCCAGGTCCCACTGCCATCATGGCTTTGATGGTACAAACCCATGTCACTGGCAGTGCCGACTATGCTGTATTGTTATGTTTTCTTTCGGGATGTGTCATCTTAATATTGGGCTTCTTAAATCTGGGCGTATTGGTGAGATTTATTTCGGTACCTGTGACGACAGCATTCACCACGGCAGCTGCCATCACCATTGGCAGTGGCCAAATAAATAATTTATTTGGCATTAAAAGTAAGATTAAATATAAAATCAAAGTTTTAATTAAAGCATTGCCTTTAATATTTATTTCTTTGTAAAGGTCCATCAAATGAATTCTTGGAATCATGGGAAAATTTCTTTACCCACATTAAGGAAGCAAGACTAAATGATTCACTTTTGGGAGTTATAACCCTAGTTGTGTTGCTGTTGTTGAGGGTGAGTGTTAGGATTTTTTAAGTCCAGAAGATAATGGATTATTTAAGGTGAGAATGCATAGAGGATTTTTTTCTGGTTTGAGTCATCTCTTGGTTTCTTTTTGTAATGGAACAAAAGACTAACAAAAGCAACTCAACTTCTATAGTTATTTTATGAAAAGTCAGAGATTTATCCTAGGAAGAATCCTTCTATTTATTTTCACTTTTAGGAACCGCTTCATACTTATTTTTTGAAGTCATTGTACATAATAAATTGTCTTGATTTTTTATATGTCCTAGCCAACATTTAATGTTTGTTCCCATTTCTTACAGAAAGTCAAAGACTTGCCATGCGGCTATAAAGTGTTGACAAAATACATTTCCCTATCACGTAATGCGCTGGCTGTTATCATTGGTATTGTTTTATGTTATTGCCTTAAAGACGGAGACAAACTACCATTCAGGGCTAGCGGTGAAATTACGAAAGGCATACCAGACTTCAAGTTACCACCATTCAGCACACCTGGTGAAAATGGTACAACATTGGGTTTTGGTGACATGGTTTCAAATCTGGGCGCATCTTTGGCTTCGATACCACTTATCTCGATTTTGGAGAGTATTGCCATTGCCAAAGCTTTTTGTGAGTATCACGTTAACATTTAAATGTGTCTGAAAAACTGATAAAATATAATTTCCCAAAATCTGTTGTTTTGCAGCCAAGGGAAAAATTGTCGATGCTTCACAGGAAATGATAGCTTTGGGTTGCTGCAATATTTTGAGCAGTTTCTTTTCATCGATGCCCATTACGGGTTCCTTTACTCGTACCTCGATCAATCATTCAAGTGGCGTTCAAACTACAATGGGTGGTGCTGCCACCGGTGTTTTGGTTCTCATGGCTTTGGCATTTTTGACCACCACATTTTCGTATATTCCCAAGGCCACATTGGCTGCCATTATTATATCGGCCATGATATTTATGGTTGAATATGAACGCATCTATGAAATCTGGAAATCTAAAAGTAAGTTGGAAAATTGCATAGACCTGTCAAAACAAAGTAAATTTAATTTGTCTCCATTTTTTAGAAATCGATATTATTCCCTTAGCCGTCACCGCCTGTGTGTGTTTGTTCTGGAGTCTGGAATATGGCATGGTCTGTGGTATTGCCGTCAATGCCATATTTATTCTCTACAAAAGTGCAAGACCCAAAATTCAAATCCATTTGGAAAAAATTAACTCCACTCCCGTTGCCATTGTGGAAGTCCAAGAAAATCTTTGCTATTCTTCAGCAGAATATTTGAAATCCAAATTGATTAAATTTGTGGCAATACAGGGTGATGGTATTGTTAAACTTGTTGTAATTAAAGGAGAAGAAATTACCAACATAGATTCTACTGTGGCCATGGTAAGTATAAATATATCTCAATTTTGATGTGTTTGCAATAATTGAGTTTGTTTTCATTTTTCTAGAACATCATCTCCCTCAAAGAGGATCTCTCAATGTTGAATTGCGATTTGATTTGTTGGAATTGGAATTATGAGGCAGCTGGTGTTGTTTGCCGTCTGCACAAAAAAGAAAGATCAATGTTTAAATTTGGCAAATCATTGGAAGATGTTGTCACAGATATGGCAGAAAGTACAACCTTACAATTAGATACTGTTAATGAGGACTAGTACTCTTAAGAACTGTTTAAAAAATTTCTAAAATCTTGTTTTTGCACATATTCAGACCGATTTTAAATATTTCTTGGGATAACATTTCCGAAATTTTGTATATTAAATACTCTCCATATTTAATGTTTTCGAAAAATTCCTTTCAATTACAACTTCTGTCGTCCAAAGGCAGGAGTGGCACCTACAGGGGAAATTTTCTTTATATTTGAGCATATTGTTTTGTATATATGTAAGATCCATAATTTTAAGATGTTCCGTTTATTGTTATTGTTACGAAAAAAGACTGTTGAAACAATAAGTTATTGTTATGAAATAAAACGATTTTAAATGATAGCATTATTCCTCTTATAAGCTTCATGGTGACAACATACTACTCTAGAATCAATTCAGTAAAAAATTTTGAAGGCAAATATTCCAAATAGCTTCAATTAAGACAGCTTAGACAATTTGTGAAATTCAGGCTCAGATAAGATCAAATGGGATAAATAATATATCACTGTTCACAGAGTGCCATTTCAAATAAACAGATAATTATGGACTATTTTGGTCTTTCTATGTACGAATAATAAATAAATTAATAAATGGTCTGGTTTAGACTGATCTTAAAAGTTTGAACAAGTAAAAAAGCTGTAAGTTCGGCCGTGCTGAACTTTGCATACCCTCCACAATTTGGAACAAATTTGGCGATTTTCAAAAAAAAAAACCGTTAAAAATTCTGTTAAAATCTGTTCTGTTAAAAAATACCAAATGTAGCCGTAATATTAGGGTCTAAACGACAATATTTAAATGCGAAACTTAAAAAAAATCGGTGAATAATGTAGCTAAAATCAAAAATATAGGTAGGTACTATTATATGGGGCTATACCAAAATGTGGACCTGCCTTAGGCTGTAGTATCTATTACGAACTTCAAATACCAAGTTTGAAAGAATTCCGGTGAATAATGTCGCTAAAATCGACAAAGTACCGGATATCGGGAGGTACCATTATATGGGGGCTATACCAAAACGTGGACCTACATAGCCCATTTTCAATACCAAGTCCTGCAGACATAATATACATTTGAGTAAAATTATATGAATCTATTTTATTTCGTTCGGAAGCTAGAGTGATTTCCACAGACGGACATCGCCAAATCGACATAGAATTTTGTGCTGATCAAGAATAAATGTATATTTCGAGGTGTTACAAACGGAATGACATACTTAATATACTCTCCATACAATGGTGGAGGGTATAATTAAAGGCCATATTTGAGTTAGGCAATACTAGTTTACAGTTCAGTAAACCAGTTTCTAAACATATGAGTGATTTCATCAATTTCATATACATTCACATCACTCATACGCAGAGTTCTCACACAGAAGAGCGGAGTCCACGAAGCTAGATAAGAAACTAGTTCGTTCGATCGCTCTAGAATTGACCACAACTGTAGTCCCTATTTATTATTCAACAGGTAGTATGGAAAATATATTATAAAATTATTATAGCATACTTTTAGGCATGCTAGTGAACCGGTTGAGCTCTGATAGAGCAAAAGGTCGATTTGAAATCTTGTTCAGTATCTTCTCCTGTGCTATATTAAAGTTCGTTCGCATTTGATTCCAATTATATTTTGTTTGGTTTAGAGCCTTTTGACAAATATACATAATAACGTATTACCCTACAGAAAAGGTTGTTTAATTTGTTATAATGTATAAAGGTTCAAACTTACTTGTTTAATTATACATTTGATTTAATTTGCTAACAGAAGAGCATATATATGGCCAATTAATTTGTTTATAGTAAAACACACTCTTATAATGTAGTCATATTTCATGAAACATGTGACCATAGCAATGTTAGAATTGGTGTACTTCACATTAGTAACAATGACGAATCAGTGATCTAGTTGAATAAAATTGCGTTTTATTATCTTTACAATTACCCTTTGAAATTTTGTCTTTTGATTACACTTAATGTTTTTCCCCCAATTGATTACATGGTTCTTATCGCAATGTATAGATATTGTATTAAATGTTTCGTTTATTTCATAAAAAATGGAATAAAAATTTTTACTTTAATTTGAGCAAGGAAAATTTGAGGTGTACAACATTTATAAGGGTAACTATAACATTCCAAATGGTTGGAAACACAAGTGGAGAGATGCACTTGTGGGTAAAATTCAATACACAAAAAATGGGGAACTGTGCTTGGATCCTAAAGATTAATGATCAACAGATATCCTACTTTAGCACTATTAAAGGGTGCAATGAAAAAACTGCAACCAACTTCAGACTGCTGTCATTTCTAAGCCACTCGTCCGACAGCTGTTAAAATTATTCCAGTGACAGCTCATTATATTTTTTACAAGCGCGCAAAAGTATTTTGGTGTGAATTTTCCAGAAAAAGTTATTCGTGATGGAATTCAAGCGTGATCACATATCACGACAGCTTGGGAAACCACAAGTGGCTATCGTTAGCTATCATTCAATGTGAATAAATATTTTGTGTCTCGTATCGTGATACTGGTAGCGTAGCCCGAAGTCAAGGAAGTGGACGGAAGAAAACAGCAACATCAGCAGAAATGATTTGAAAAGTAAAGAAGCTACTTGACCAAAACCCACCTCGCAGTTGAAAATGTTATAAAATGAGTTAAGGGTAAAACCGTTGAAATTCCAAAAAGTGCAAGAACTTACACCGCTTTCGCTTGGCCGAAAGTGGTGCACTGCCGAATTTGGTTTTCTCCAATGAGAATATATTCGATGTCCAGCAGTTTGTAAACAAACAAAATGATCGTGTTTACTTGGCCAAAGAGGTCAGCTGAAAATGTGCACATTCGGTTGGCCACCAGAAATCAAGCGCCGGCCATGGTGATAGTGTGGGCCGCCATAACAGCCGATGGTCGCTCTCCGTTCGTATTAATCGACTGTGGCATCAGAATAAATGCCGAATATTATCGCGAAAATATTCTGGAGGGTGTATTAAAGCCTTGGGCACTTTATCGTTTGGGCCGCAAACCTTGGACATTCCAACAGGACTCAGCACGCGCCACCCAAGAATGGTTACAAAATGAGGTTTCTCGCTTCATTTCCAGCGCACAATGGCCACCAAAATTTCCGGATACCAATCCGTTGGACTATTGTGTCTGAAGTATTTTGGAAAGCAAGGTTGGCACTAAAAAATACCAAAGTGTCTATCACCTCAAGCAAGCGCTTCGCCGGGAATGGGCCAAAATACAGCAAAGCAATATCCGGGCAGCGTGTGACGGAGATCAAATCTAAACTTATTCTAAAATTTGATGCATTTCCGACATTTTTGCTTTGATTCAATAAAATTAAAAAAAAAAATGTCAAAATTATGGCGTAAAATCACGTACATCGCATCCGATTGAAATACAATTGCGGCGTCTTTTTATTAAATTAAATCTAAAAGGCAGAAAGATCTAGATTCTCAGTTTCGTGATAGCCTAAGCTCTTTTCTAAGGGATAGGTAAAAAACAAAGCTTTAAGCAAGATATTTTTTTCTACTTTAACCATTTAAATAATTAAAGGTAGAGCCGTTACCGTAATTGCTACGGTTAAGGTTGACTAAATTTCCTGTTGGTAGAAGTAACACTCTTCCCTTGGAATAGAAAGTAATACGTCAAGATATGCAACGTGTTACTTAGACAGATAAACAAAATAGATTGAATACAGTTCTTCAATAAGATCCAATCCTGTCCATTGGTTGCCCATTGAAGATATATCTGTCCAGCGCATCTTAGATAACTACGCACTACACTGCATTAATTTGTAATTGCCATGACAAGTTTACACCACTCATTCTTGAAGATCGGACTTGGCAGTATGTAGAAGTAGCTCCTTTTTAAACTCAAAACAGAATACAGAAAGCTTATATTTTCAGATGCAATTGCATAATTATAAATTCGGGTATAGGGGCCCTAAACGTATTAATTTTGTTTCAGTTGGACTTTTATAAATCTAGAACTTTTTATAAATCCACATAACGGTAGAATGGGGCCTAATAGGTGAAGCAAAAAGCTGGTGTAACTTTTCAAAGTGACGCCACAAGTGCTAATGACTTTTCTGCATCCCGAGTTATTGGTTTTCAATTTATTAACTTGAAAGTCAAAGCTATCCATTCCAGCCCCGCTGAGTTCATTTATGTTTATATAGTTTATACTAGATTCGAATACCCCTTGTTCCATTTTGTTGAAAAAAAAATGGTTGAAATTTAATCTAGGGCTAGATCCAGTCTTAATCGACATTTCCTAATACAGTTTTTGACACAAAATTTTGATGTGCATATCGTAGGTGGTATGGATTTCCAAAGGAAACCCATTTTCTCAATTTCGAATCGATTTCTATTAATTGATCTTTTTTACTCCCAATATCCCTACATTCTTATCCTTTCCGGTGTGGTATCCTGCAGGAAATATCAGCAATTTCACATCAAAACTAAATTGATATGCCTACATTGTTTGGTTCATTTAGGGGCTGTGGTTCTTGGGTATGTATGTAGCATTGAATATATATGTAATGTTATCAAACAATATTCGTATATGTACAACTCGTAACACTGTACTTGACGACCTTGAACTATGCACATTTAATTGATGTACCCTAATTATTGTTTATTCTTTTAATGTCTCTCTACATTTTCAATATGTAAATATTTTCATTATGTTTAATCCTTTATAAATTTCCACAAACATACACGCACATTCACTTTTCTCCACCTATTTTTGGAGGCAATCCATTTTTCCCCGGACTGCCTGCTACCGGCCGGCCGGCAAACAACAGACAGCAGTAGTTTGCGTGGTGGTGGTAGTAAAGTGATATAGAGAAGACATATTAATGACGCTTTTTTTCTGTCGCCGCTGGTGTTTTTGTTGTTGTTGCTGCTGCTCTAGAGTACATTGTACAGACATGTGTTTTAAATAATGGTACACACAAAAAAGTATTATATACTTTAACAAAAAACACGTCTAAATGGTACTAACACAAAAACAAAAGCAAAAAAATACATATCAGCTTCTAACAACCAGTGAATTAACCTAACTCTGATTTCAAACATCTCTTGAAGGTTATAATCGAAAAGGTTTCCGCGACGACATGAAATGCTTTTAAGTCTAGCTTACCTCGACAACATTGAATTCACCCTCTTTGGCTTCAGCACCCAAAAGAATTTGTCTGACAATTAATTTTTGGCCGCGGGGGAAATCTATATCGTTGGACAAAACTTCCCATTCAACTTTGCTGCCTTCGCCGCTCAATGTAACACCTGGAAAAAAAGATAGCTTTAAATACTGCACTCATGTGAAAAAATTAAAGTATCCAAAAATGACATCAAGTTTTGAAAATTGCATTTTCGCGACAAACCAACCGCCATTTTTTGCACGCTCTATAACTTGTGCAATTTGTCGTCATTTTAATCCAATACATATGCCATTTTATTGGGCAACATCTTTTTTGAAATATTTACCATAGAATGATTCGTCAGACATTGTGATTCTGTGGATTCTTTTGGATTAGTTTATTATGTAGCTGGGTATTCACGCGTCACTCACTCGTGTTTTTGCACAGAAAAACCGAATTTCTTTCTTTTTTGTTTAAAGAGACAGCAAGAAGAAGCCGGCGTAGTGGTGACAAACAATCGATGATGCTATCGTAATAATCGATATTTTATCTCCAGTGTCAATATCAATTGACAGTTTTTTGCCAATCGAATAACACCGTATATTTTGTAATACAATGTTCTCATTGACATGTGAATGCGATCGTAGTAGCATACATGACACAATTAAAGAAGGTAAAAAAGTGAGTTAAAAGTTAACCCCTAAATACAATTTTTTTTCTTTTGTTGCCCTTATTTTGTCAAAACATATACACATTTTGTGTATGTATGTATGTGTATTGTTTTGTGATAAAAATATAATAATTTCAAATTATTTCAAATTCGGTTGCAAAACAAATGCATATTTTCGATGGTAATAAGCAACACAATGTACGATTTGGGGATAAAATTGTATTGTCCTAATATTTTAGATACAATATTGTAGAATAACCCCAACATTCCTTTCTACTACTTTCTACTTTCGCGGATTTTCCCCAATATATGAATTTTGTTTAAAAAAATAAACAAACCAACTGTTGCATATTTAAAAGTCTATTTGACACTATAAGACTCCAGCACAGAGTTGCATTTTTCTCATACACATTTTTCTTCATACTTAAATTAAACTTGTAATAATGAAAAACGATTTATGTGTCCGACAACATCATTTTTTATCTATCGGAAAGATGTAAAGTGGCCCGTACTTGGTCAAAATGCATGACATCAAAATCATGCACTTGTGCATGAAGCCTTCAGCGCACATGGTATATGCATTCATTTTGCTTTTTATTTCGTGCTGTGACATCCCAAAGCGCTGACAACTCAAAAACATATTTTTTTCAGTATCCGACATCTGCACCGCTTTGCATCGCTTTGAAAAAAAAACGTCGCACTCCACCACAAACACGTCAAAATCGAAGGTCATGCACGCAAAAAATTAAAAATTTTTGATTTGGCTTCATGCATCGTATGTGTGACGCATATATACAAATTTTCACTAACACCACATAATTGCATGCCATGAATTTTGATCGTTTACGGGTCACTTAACAACGCATTTAATCTAGGTTGCTATTTCGATTTGTTGTTCCTTTCGGAGTAACACAACGAGTTTTGGTTATATGGCAACACTGCTTTAGCTGGATTGTTGAAGAGAGACACAACACATTCGGGCGGCACGTGTAGAAAAGTTTTGTGAATAGCTAGTAGAAAATATACTAAATTAATTCAATTTTTTAAATATCTCACTATTTCCAAATAAATAGACAGTAAAATGGAAACAGAATCTTTCTACGGTAAGTAAATGCAAAGTTTAAATAAATTACTTCGGTGTATGTGTATATTTTTTGCAAAATTGATGGTATGGTACAGTTGTCGTTAAATCTCTAATCAAACATGTCTGAGTCGACGACCGACCAATAATCGAGTTTGTCTTTTAAAGCCGGCATGGTGCATTGTTTCGTAAAAAAAAGACAATAACCTTGTGGATTTTTTATAGTAATTATCGCTCGTTTGTTTTTGCAGGTGTTGAATTGAGTGAAAAAGATCCCTTGGCCCAATTCGAAGTGGCCGAAACTGACAAAGGTCTACAGGATCAGAAATTGATTATTAAACAAATAAGTCTTGGCGCCGAAGCCAAGGATGAATTCAATGTTGTACAGGTAAGCAAAGAACTGTTTGACACACACATGGCGGGATTTAAGCAAAATTAACTATGATTATTTTAAAGGCTGAAGTTAAAATCAATGAAAAGGAAACCCTGAAAATTCCCATTGCTGTCTTGAAGGCTGGTGAGACGCGTGTTCTTAAGCCCAACTTGGAATTCCCCAGTGATTCGGTCACTTTCAAACTGACACAAGGCACAGGCCCTGTCTACATTTGTGGGCAACATTTAGTCCACGACATTGTCGACGAATGGGGCAATGCCGAAGAAGAAGATCTTGAAGAAGAGGAAGAGGACGATGAAGATGATGCTCCACCACCACAACAGAATGGCAAAAATAGCAAAAAGAAGTAAAAATTGACACAAGACAATTTACCTATAAGAGGACAAAAAACAAAAAACAGATATACATCAAAGATAATTCCTTTATACTTCTTGGGAGGAGCACACACACAAACTTTTTAATACCTTTTTCGTTTGATAAACAAAAATAACGAAATATCCATTTTTTCTTTCATTTATAGCACACAAACACTGTATGTACACTCTACTATATAAGTTTATAAGTATGTAATTAAAATAAAAATAATTACTTAAAAAATGATAAAATAATAAAACACAAGGAAAATTGAAGAATTGTGTTGGTGATTATTTGGGATTAATGTGTACATAAATTGGTTTGTGGGAGTTGAGGCAGTAGGAATACTGACATTCATTTGAAATAAGCTATATTACCATAAAATTGCCCAATTTCAAATTGCTATGGAAATCATAATCATGATGATTAGCAAGTCGATAGACGAAGACGCGACTATATATACGGGGTGAGATGAAAAAATTGCAACTAACTGCAGACTGTTGTAATTTTAAGCCACTCACCCGAATGCTGTTAAAATGATTCCAGTGGCAGTTTATTATATTTACAAGCGTACAAAAGCATTTTGGTGTGAATTTTCCAGAAAAAAAGTTATGCGTGATGGAATTCAAGCGTGATAGTGTGATTTCTTTATATTTATCTGGAAAACCACAAGTGGCTATCGTTAGAGCACTCCAGCATTTAATTGTGAATAAATCTTTTGTGTCTCGTACCATCGCTCGTTACCGTGATACTGGTAGCGTAGCCCGACATCAAGGAAGTTGACGGAATAAAACAGCAACATCAACAGAAATGGTTCGAAAAGTAAAGAAGCGACTTGATCGAAACCCGCGTCGCAGTGGCCGAAAATGGCTTGTGAGCTGAACATATTGCAATATTCCATTCGGCAAATATTGCAAAATGAGCTCGCGGTAAAGCCTCTGAAATTCCAAAAAGTGCAAGACCTTACACCGCAACAGAAAGAAAATATACTCAAAAGAGTATATTTTCGCTTGGCCGAAAGTGGTGAACTGCCGAATTTGGTTTTCTCCGATGAGAAAACATTCGTTGTCCAGCAGTTTGTAAACAAACAAAATGATCGTGTTTACTTGGCCAAAGAAGTCCGCTGAAAATGTGCACCTTCGGTTGGCCACCAGAACTCAAGCGCCGGCCATGGTGATAGTGTGGGCCGCCATAACAGCCGATGGTCGCTGTCCGCTCGTATTAATCGATCATGGCATCAGAGTAAATGCCGAATATTATCGCGAAAATATTTTGGAGGGTGTATTAAAGCCTTGGGCATGCAAACATTTTGGCCGCAGACCTTGGACATTCTAACATTACTCAGCACGCGTCACCCAAGAATGGTTACAAAATGAGGTTCCTCGCTTCATTTCCAGCGCACAATGGTCACCAAAATCTCCGGATACCAATCCGTTGGACTATTTTGTCTGGCGTATTTTGGAAAGCAAGGTTGGCACTCAAAATACCAAAGTGTCGGATCAACTCAAGCAAGCGCTTCGCCGGGAATGGGCCAAAATACCAGCATCATTCGGGCAGCGTGTGACGGTTTCATTGGCCGAAGGCCATAATTCATACCAAAGGTGACCAATTCGAACAAATCTAAACTTATTTTAAAATTTGATACTACTTCCGACATTTTTTGCTTTTATTCAATAAAATTAAAAAAAAAAAAATAAATAAAAATATGGCGTTTGACTTTGTTGCAGTTTTCATTATCTCACCCTGTATGTATACCGAGGTGACAACCGCTGGCCGAAACTACCTTTATTTATTTGGATTTGGGCAGCGTGTGACGGTTTCATTGGCCGAAGGCCATAATTCTTACCAAATGTGACCAATTCGAACAAATCTAAACTTATTTTAACATTTGATGCTATTTCCGACATTTTTGCTTTCATTCAATAAAATTTAAAAAAAAAAATATTATGGCGGTTGACTTTGTTGCAGTTTTTATTATCTCACCATGTATGTATACCGAGGTGACAACCGCTGGCCGAAACTACCTTTATTTATTTGGATTTATTCAATATCATCGAATGCCACACCTGGCCAAACTCGACTTCTTTTGTCCAAATACATTCTAGTTCATGCTACGGATTTTTGACCATCTTAAATGCTTGGATTCCAAGGAATCTTAGCTCGAATATTTTCGTAAATATGATCGGAATTTTCACATAATTTTTCAGTTGGATTTCGATGAAGCGTTTCGACACACGTGTCTCACATTTTTAGCTCTACTTTCACGATCTTCTGCCTTTTTTGTAATTTGAGAAAAAAATGCATTTTGCCGCACAGTGCCGTAATGCCTATCATGATCTAATCCGCTTCGCTTATTCAATACAATTTATTTGACAACAAATATTCAAAAGTCTAACCATCATTGTACTTTATGGGGACAAATTTTATAGTTAAATATTTCAAGATCCAAATTTAAAATGTTTTGACCAAATCGCTTTTTATTTCAGGGTATGTGCTATATATCTGTGTTTTTAATTACTATTATCTTAATATTACAAATGCATTATCGAATTTTAAACTACGCCTCTAAAATTATTCTCCACAATCCTAAAAAAATACATCTCATTTTGTGCATTCATATTTACATGCGTGCCATTGACATCTTTTGTCGCGGTACCCTAGAAAACAAATGTAAATATTATTTTATTCAAATCCGAAAAATATGATTATATTAAAAAATTACTGACTTTTACCTTATATGTATGACACGTCGTCTATCACCTGGATGTATTAGATCATTCTTTTGACTCCATTCGATTTGTTTCAATTCATGGCGTAATTTTTTACGATCGAAATAGGATATGACACAGCTGGCTGGTATCCAAAAGATGGAGGTGAACACAACAACAGCCACTAGAGTTTGGCAATATTATTGGGGGATAAGAACAAGATTAATAAATGACAATTGCAATCTCATGGAGTCATGAATACTTACTGACAATGTTATCCTTTAAAAATCTCAGTACACGGTTAATATTGATTTCTTCAATGATATCCCAAAACCGTTCCACAACATCTTGTATGGTTTTCTCGCAAACACCCTGTAAGTTGTGTAATTTAGATTTAACTGTAGATTCCTCTAACTTACTAAAGTGTTAACCTACCTTATTACAAAAACCTTGAATACATGGAGTACCATCCGGTAGGACATCCGGTGGCTCAACCGGGAAACAGGTTTCATTTATACTCATACGACAACATCTATGGAAATTTTGAAAGGTTTGCAATATTAAAAAATATATTTGATGTGGGAAAATGTTTCATTTTATGGTGAAGGTTTAGCAAATGGGAACTTTTTAAGCTTTGTACAATGCCTTGTTCCAATCTTACCTTTTACAAGCATCTTGTATTATATCACACATACAACTCTGCAAGCCCTGCGTCTCACAGTATGGAACTAAGAACGGAAATAATTAAAAACGATTCAAGAGCACACCTTTTTCCCAAACAAACTTACTGCACTTGCCGCTACGACACTGGCCACGCTCTTGACACATCGTGCCATCATCCATGGCCGGAGATTTGGGACATTCAGCATGTGTACCCGTGCAACGTGCTTCCCTCTCACATGTGGCATAGACCTGGTCACGACACTTCACCCCAGCCGGCATAAATTGGCAGTTCTGGCAGCATGGTGAATTTTTATCACTGCAAACGGCACCTTGATTGCGACGCAATTTACAATTTTTATCGCAGCAAGCATCGTTGTCTTCGGTGCCCAGAAGACCAGCATCGCACTGTTCATCGCCCTCAACACGAAGATTGCCGCAGAACGATTCTTCTGGTTCCGAGAAACATCGACCCGATTTGGCTTGCAGCACTTTACGTATTGAACGCAACGAGCAGGGTGAGAATTTCTGTAAAGATAAGGAATATTTAAAATGATTTTCCATATTAAGACTAGTATGGTAAGAAGCATTTGGAAGGGACCTCTACCTTCTATGGGTCAGGCAATCAATTGAGAATACAAGTTCACATAAGAATCTAGGGGTACCTGATACCCGCAGTTCCAGAATACAGGGTGAGAAAAAAAAATGCAACAAAGTCAAACGCCATAATTTTAATTTTTTTAATTCGAAAGCAAAAAATGCCGGAAATAGCATCAAATTTTAGAATATGTTTAGATTTGTCAGAATTGGTGACCTTTGCTACGAATTATGCCCTTCAAACCGCCAATGAAACCGTCACACGCTGCCCGAATGTTTCTCTGCGGTATTTTGGCCCATTTCCGGTGAAGCGCTTTCTTGAGGTGATCGACAATTTGGTATATTTTGTTGCCAACCTTGCTTTCTAAAATACCCCACAATAGTCCAACGGAATAGTATCAGGAGATTTTGGAGGCCATTGTGCCCTGGAAATTAAGCGAGCAACCTGATTTTGCAACCATTCTTGGGTGGCGCGTGCTGAGAGCGATGGTGCTGAACACTGTTGGAATATCCAAGGTCTGCGGCTAAAATGTTTTCGCGCCCACGGCTTTAATATACCCTCCAGAATATTTTCGCGATAGTATTCGGCATTTATTCTGATGCCACGGTCGATTAATACGAGGGGAGAGCGACTATAAAATCACCATGGCCAGCTCTTGAGTTCTGGTGGCCAACCGAAGGTGCACATTTTCAGCTGACCTCTTTGGCAAGTAAACACGATCATTTTGTTGGTTTACATACTGCTGGACAACGAATGTTTTCTCATCGGAGAAAACCAAATTTGGCAGTTCACCACTTTCGGCCAAGCGAAGCAACTCTTTAGTTCTTTTGAGTCTATTTCCTTTCTGTTGCGGTGTAAGTTCTTGCACATTTTGGAATTTCAATGGCTTTCCCAGAGCTCATTTTTTAATATTTACCCAATGGAATATTGCGATATGTTCAGCTCACGAGCCATTTTTCGGCCACTGCGAGGAGGGGTCGCTTCATTAATTTTCGAAGAATTTCTGATGATTTTGCTGTTTCCATCCACTTTCTTCACGTCGGGTTACGCTACCAGCATCACGGTAACGAGTGGTGGTATGAGACACAAAAGATTTATTCACATTTAAATGCTGGAGTTTTCCAGCCAAATATAAAGAAATCACACTATCACGCTTGAATTAAATCACGAATAATTTTTTTTCTGAAAAATTCTCGCCAAAATGCTTTTGTTTAGCTTGTAAACAATATAATGAGCTGTCACTAGAATAATTTTAACAGCTGTCAGAAGAGTGGCTTAGAAATGACAGCAGTCTGAAGTTGGTTGCAGTTTTTTCATCTCACCCTGTATAGCACTAAACAACCCAGATTGCTCACCCACCACCAAATGAGTAGCGAAAAAAAACTTACCTTGTTGTTGACATCATAACCACTAACGGAATATGTATACATTAGAAAACTGCCACCCTGTGAGGCACTCGGTGAGCATTCTGGTATATCCGGGTCATGTTCTGAGCCCCAATTGTGACCGAATTCATGGGCCGTCACCAAATCTGCTTCGCGTGTAATTACACGCTGGCCATAGTGATTGCGTGAGCTGCTCAATCCCGAATTCAAATACAATGTGTAGCCATTTTTGAAGTATTCTACAAAGGAAAAAGGGGTGAGATATTAGTATATGTTTTTTGGAATTCTCATAAAGAAAGTTTCATGAAAGAAAACCCAAGCTTTGGAAGAATGTAAGAGAAACAAGGGGAGTTTTCGTTAATCCCTTTTTTATATGCATAATGTTTCCAGAGTTCGAAACTGGTAGTAAAATGCGATATCCATATGGAAAACATTGCATACCTCCTTCCTCCCTCTCTTCCAAAATCTTAATGTTTCCTTGAGGAAGTTTTCTGTAATAAAAATACAAATACTAATAAAAAATAAAAAACCAAAGTCTAATTAAAAATATTTAATCATATACGGAAATCTTCCTTAATTCAAAATCAATAATGAAATTTAAGAAACATCTACTAAACAAAAATGCAAATCAAAATTGTAAATTAAAAAAATACGAAAATTTGAATAATTAGTTTGCATTTTTGTTAACCTGGTGTACAAATGCCGCCCACAGAATTACGTCTGGGCGAGCCAACATAGGCCAAGCCCAAAATTCCGCCCTCGAATTTCAGGTCCGTAAATAGATGGGCTAAACAAAAATCTTTGTGGCTATATTCGCGTGAAAAGACCTACACAATTTTATTGGTACATATTATAAAAGGAAACTTTTTAGTATTGTTTTTTTTTTTTAATTTTATAAATATTTTTAGTTTGCATTCAGTTCAATAAGACTTCCGAACTTACCTCTAGTAAATTTCGAACATCCCATTTTTCTCGGATCATGTTATAGTGCGCCTCACCACCTCTCAAACGAGTTGGTTCGGAATGTACAACAATTTTCTTAATCACAAAACCCATACCCTTGAAACCTTCCTGATCCGAACGATCTTGCCATACGGTATCATTGTAGATTTTATGGACACGATCTATAAGGCTTATCTGTGAATGGAATGAATTGAGAACGAATTACTTGAAAGTCTGGAGTATTAAATTAAAAAAATAGAGTGAGAGAAGACTAAGGATAGTGATACTTTTAGTCTCTCACCAAGAAATTGGATGACAAATATTGTGTATAAATTACATACCAAGTAATTAATGGTGGTTTTGGTATTGCCACCACCCATTTCCTGGAAAAATCTATAGTCTGCCACAAGAAGTAGGGGACATCGTGTCTTTGTGGGTGTGTATTCATATTGATCGGCTTGCCGTTTTGATCTCTTATGCGGTTCATTGTGCACCGAGGATAGAAGCTGTGACTGGGGTTTATGATCATGATCACTGTCATGATCATTGTCGGGATTTTCATCATCATCGTCAGCTTCTAACTCTGAAAATAAAAAAATTAAATTTAAATTATGTTTCTAAAATTCCATTCATGAAAACACTTACCTAATCCTTCCTTGACATAGCCACAGGTAAGTGGAGCCCCACCCATGTCTCCTTTTTGGGGATGCTGCCAATTCATTTTTATATCTGACGTACGATAAGCAACCATGGTGTTATCTTTGGCGGTGGGTAGATGGCGCCAAGTAGGCTAAATGACAAATAGGAAAAAACGGAAAAATTTGTATGAGAAAAGCAGACTTAGGCAGTGAGCAGACTTAGGGAGGTGAGAAAATTATGTTAAATTCATGGTAAAAGAGATTTAATTTTCGCATGATAATAATACTTATAATCTTGTATAGCTTTCAGCGCATCATACCCGTATGCTTTTGTCAACGAAACGTAAATAAATCATCTCTCCATCACTGTCGATCTCGTGTCCTAAAGTACTGACAGTATTATTCTACAAACTCAATACTTTCTCCAAGCATTCCGGCCAAGAGAAATCAAAAGCCTAAATAAGATGCTCAGCGCTCCATAAGGCTCCTCTTAGGACAAGGAAAAAGATACCCTGGTTGCAAAATACAAGGCAACGAAATCAGGAAGACACTACCCACATAGTTTCTCCTGACATGTTAACTACTTGATCGTTAAAATAGCCATATAGTGATGCAGAATTCGCTGCCTATGCGTATCTGATAGGACTGCGGATATTTCTGTTTGGACATGTAATATTCGAACATTAACCGATTGTATAGCGTTGCAGTTCATCGAGCTAGATACAGGTCACAACGTAAATATATTATTTTAGCAGCCAAAAGCAAAGCCCTACACGAGGACTATATTTGTCCAACTGTGTTCCGGATGTTCTTCCGACACAGCGCTTTGATTTTTTGTCCTCTAGCTTTCCACTATTATATTCCCACCTCATGAATTTCATCAATACTTACCTCAACATGATAGGCCTCATCGGGTAGATTAATAGACATTGTCATTAAACCATCCTCAATGTGAGCCCGCACAGATGAATCAACTTCACCAAAAACTCTTCCGCTGTAGAAATTGTCGTGGTCTGCAATACGACAAAAAAATCATTAATTTACATGCCCTTGGCAGCAAACCGAAGGATTTGTCAACATACCCAAATGCACAACAGTCTCATTGCCATCACCATCCACTGTGTATGCCTTAAATTTACTATGCAAAACCTCTCGATGAGGATGCAGAATTAAACGGAAATTTTTACCCAATGTTTTGAATTCCACTTCTTTGATGACATTAAAAGGATTATTGCTATGTTTGGCACCTCTTTTCACAATACGATGCTGGACTTCATCTTTGTGGAAAATCTCAAAGTGTTTAAGCGTTCGATGAAGGGAATCTGAAAAGAAAACATGAAATTATTACAAATTATAAAAAATTATTTTGAATTGCTTAATACTCACCAACATTTTTAATAAAAAATAAGACAAATATTACAATAACAAAATAATTAAAAAAATATCTTTCCGTAACCAATTTTCTTTTCATTGCACAAAACCCTTGTAAGGAAAATGTCCTTTAAAACAAACAAAAATGAAAAACGTCCCAACGAAACGAATATGAAGGCCACAAAGGAATACCCGATAAAAAATAAACAGAAAGCAAAGACTCGGGGTACTCTGTTGTTTACGAATGAGACGTGAGAAAATTGAACATCTTCACTAAAGAGCGCGGAACTAGTTGCTACTCAACTTGGGTGAAAACCGAGTACTCGACAGAGCGAATGCGCGTGTGGAAAACCAAAATGAAAGTCGTCCCCAACGAAACGAATATAAAGGCCAAAAAGGAATACTTGATTAAAAATAAACAGAAAGCAAAATCACCGAAGGACCTCTGTTGTTTACGAATGAGACATGAGGAAAAATGAATCCATTCACTAAAAGAGCGCGGAACTAGCTACAAAATTTGAAACTCAGTGAGTAAACAGTGGCGAATTGCAAATGCCAAAAATCATTTAGGCGGGTGAAAATATAATTTCTTGTACATATATTTTTTAAAACATAAAAGTATTAATTTTTTAATTAAAGTTTTGTTTATTGTAAATTGTTTATCGTAATTTCGCCGCAAAACAGGACTAAACAGCTGTTTTGGTATATACAATAGGGTATATACAATAGGTAAACCGTTTTGTTTCTGTGCAAATATCTTGGCTGGCAATTCCAAATATATAAATATTTAATTTGGTCATTTAAAACAGTATGACAGTAATGCTACAAATTTGACGGAAAAACTGAATTTTTCAAACAGTTTAATTTAACACAAATTTTTCCACTTCCTTTAAATGAAAGAACAAAGTAAATTGCCGGATTCCCCGAATCCAGAGAAGAATTTTTTAAGAAAGGGACATTCGGAATTGCCGACTATCCCTAATCCACAAGAGGAGAAAACAAAAAATATATTAGCAAATACTTTAAAAAAAAAAATAATAATATAAGGAATTGTATTTATAAGTTTGTGTATTTATATATATTTTGTGGTGTCTAAGTTGTTCGCAAAGAGTCTACTTAGCTGGGAAGTGTGACTTCAATTCTAAATAGTGTCCTTTAATCGAAAAATATGAATAGAATTAGATTGATTGATTGATTTTAAGAAGAAAGTATGACATTTAATTCAGTTTTTGCGTTTGTTATTATTTATTCAAAATCAATTCAACAGGTTGCATTTGTTTTGATAGTAATTCTGACACTACAATTCTTACTGGTAGACCTTGTTATGTGCGCCTTTTTTCAAGTTAGCCTACCTTGCCTTCATTGCACCATGATTGTTAGTACAATCATCCTCCTAATATAATAAAATCACTCAGACGGTCATAGTTAAATCGAAATAGAATTTTATTCTGATGGAGAATATATAAGGTCTTAAAATGTGGGAAAATGTGGCAAAAATCATAAAAATACCGAATATCGGAAGATACCGTTATATGGAGGCTATACCAAAGAGTGGACCTATACATACAATTTTTCGGCGCTTTTGTCATATATTTAGACACAGCGTAAAAACTTATTATACATTTCCAGTCGGAACATATGCCTTTGATCATAAAAAAAGTCATATCCTTGCCATTTCTTCTGTCCTTACCAAAATCCCGTCCACAACGTCTTCTGCCCTGTTGTATTCTAGGACGGGCTTTATTTCCACTTCATCGTGAACGACACAAAAGATACGTCATCTTTCCGACATTCTGTAGCTGCCGCAATGCGTACGTGTATGGAAAACGGTTGTATTTCAGACGACGCATACCCAGCAGCTTTTTAAAAGACTAAATGATATATTCGACGAATTAAATGTCAAAACGACATTGTCTGCAAATCCCAACAACAAACCCGTATATCGAGACTGCAAAAACAAAATTACACGACTCGAAAAGGCCAGAGATTATTTTTTTAAACTTTGTTGTTAAAAGCAATGCAACTGTAAAGTGTATTGATGGGTTTTGGTAAACAATACAGTGTATCTTATTGCTTTCCAAAGACATATTTAGGGATTAGCCAAAGATCCAATTTATATTGTCTTGTACATTAAACCAGGATGCATTGGAAAATTTCTTTTCCCGGATACGTTCTTCCCTAGGCAATAATACACACCCATAAGTAAAGGAGGAGAGGTACATAAGCGTCAAAATAATATCTTCCGATATTTTAAAAACAGCTAAAAATTCCAATTGCCAAGAAGATGGTAGTATTTCACTTCCAATATCATTGAAAAATACCGGTGATGTTCATGTAATTGAATATTTAAAATTGTTACACTCTAATTCCAGCTCTGGTGATGATTTAGAGTTTCTTAAGGCCATAAATTTGTGCGAAACACAAGTTAAAAGGTATGTTTCGGGGTACACAATATACAAGAGTGCCGTCCAAAAGACAAAAACTGCGGTTGTGTGAACCTAATGAAAAAGGACAATCGATTGTCTTCGAAATCGTAATTGCTAATACAAAATAAAAATTTCAGTGTTAATTCCCCAAATTTAGTTAATCAGACAACCTATTCGAAATTTTCAGTTTTCAAATGAAATGGTACAAAGTGGCTTTAAAAAAAAATCATTATAGAAAAAAAAAAAACAAATGAAAAGTTCAATTGGTTTGATGCTAATGCTGTTTAGACATAACCCTAAACACTCTAATCTAAAAAAAATCTAAGTCGTTGAGTGATATATATTTATATATATTCAAATTTGAAGTACCCATCTTTTTCATGCCTGTACCTTTGAAATGTGCACTTGTCAGCACAGAATCGTGTTTGCCTTAATTAATGTTCTATACACATATAAATGTTATATGTGGAGGAAATTAAATTAACAGGCTTTTTACGTATGGTTTGAATTTTAAAAAATATATCTTCCAAACGGATCAACTCTGGACCCACTTTAAAGCTATGTTGTGTTTAAATTTCAAATAAGAAGGCTCTTATTCGTTTAGTTTTTAATGCAAATAACATATATTCTACATTTTACTGCAGAAAATCCGCTTCTTGCTTTCTTCGTAGCCTATTTAGCCTTGATTTTTTAGGGAAAATCTTTTTTGTGACATTTTTTAAGATTTTTTTATGAGCAACATAATTATTAAGTTTTTTACTACTTCTACTCTAACCACTTATACAATGAATATCATTTTAGTATAGCACGAATTGTTTAATTTATATTATTTCATTTTCTCAACGAATCTTATTTTCTTATTATTGCTTTCATAACGTTTAAATAGCACGAAAAAAATATAAATGTAGTTTTTTCAGTTCTTTAAAATAATATAATATTTAAATTATCTCAAAAGTCCGAAACTTTTATATTATATTACCTTTCTATAGTCGTACTCCAAATAATGTTAAATTATTCAATAAAAAAGTAATTATTAGCATTCAAATTTGAATGCATGCATTATATGTTTGTAATACTACAATTGTCAAGGAAATTTATATATTATTTTTAGTACAAAATCGACTTTTCAATCGCACCGAAATGCACAATTCTAGTCTATTCCTATTCTATATATCAAAGTAGCTGAACCCGGTTTTCTACCCCTTTTGATTTTTTATGCATTCAATTTCTCCATATATAAGGTCTGCCATTCACACATTCTTCCATAATGAAAATTCTTTTGATATGTGCTCCTCGGAAAACGCAATCTTACTTCTTAATTTCGCTTGCGGATTAGAGGTTTATGTCTTGCTCTTATTTTTTGCTATTGTTTGAGGGCAAAATACTTCTCTCAAATCCTTTTCAGCAATTTTTGCGAGCTCAAAAATGGATTTTTTGTGATCTTCCGTACAATATATATTTCTTATTATTCAAGGTAAATATTTTATTTGATTTATTGATTTATTTGATATTTTGATTTGAACCATTTTATGACGTACTGAACCGTAGATCGGCTTCTATTAACAATCTCATATATCTCACTCACTAGGCGATTTAGGGGTATTGTAATGTTTAATTACTAAATTTCTCCCTTCAACAGTGGGTTTTCCTCGTTGTCCTCCCATTTTTTTTTAATATTTACGTCTGAAAATTTGTGATAAATTAGCTTTTAGGGACTTCTCCAAATATATTTTCCAACAATCGTTTGTTTTACTTTTACATAGAAATTTGGTGAGTTTTAGAATAAATGCCATTATTTTGTTAAATAAATAAAAACAGAAAACTTTTGTTCTACAATTTTTTTTCAAAATTGTCCATTGACAACATTTCATTGTCAAAATGAGTTTGTCAGACATTTGATGTATACACATTAACTGATGTCATTTATGTTTGGAAAAAAATAATACTTATTTCAATTTGAAAATATGAGAAAGTTTTCTTTGCATCTTTAGATTTGTTTTGCAATAAAAGTGATGCGGGCGGCCATGAATCTTTTTTTACTTTTTCCGAATCCGACCCTTTGTGGGGGAAGTGTCGGAAGAAGTGAGCCGATATATTTCATCTGCACACAAAATCTTGTGTTGTTGAACTGTGAGGTTGTGCCAAATTTGAGAATAATCGGATACTCCTGAGCGTCCTTAGTGTGTGGATGGTGTGCCAGAAGAAGTGGTCGATTCAATCTGTTCTTTATACCAGATATTGTGTTGGAAGAAATATTTCGATTTGCCAAATTTAAAGACAATGGCACTCTTATTTTACATTTTACAACAGATTTTATTATTCAAAAAATCGGGTTCTTGGTGGGGAGGTACTTGAAGAAGTGATCCGATATATCCTATCCTCTCACCGAATCATTTGTTTGCAGATGTATTTCGATGTGCAGAGTTTGAAAAGAATTCTTTTCTTATTTCGCATTTTGTGAGTGTTATAATTATTCCAAGGTTTGACACTTTCTGGGCGAGAAAACAAAAGAATGGACCAATGAATCCCATCTTCACACTAGATCGTTTGTTGATAGAAATATTACGTCTGCGAAATTTGAAGACAATGTGATTCTTACTTCACATTTTATAAGAGATGTTATTCAAAATTGTAATCCTTTGTGGGGGAGATACTGGAAGGAGTGCCTATCTCTGATCGAAATCAGATACTCCCTCTGAGTTTTCGTTCTCAGCACACAGACCTAAACGACGGAAACGTGATCCACTTTGAATTGATACATTTTTTATAAATTTTATTGAATAATTCAATTGTTTATTAATATAAATAAACAAATTAGTTTTTGTTGTGACTGCTTAGTTACAGAAAATGCAGAGTTACAGGGAATGCTTATTTGAAATGACTTCACCTTCTTAATTTTACCATGGTTCTATTACCGTATACACTACACTAGGTTACATTGCATGAAAGAAAGTTGTTTGCTAAGTTTAGCTTGGATCTACTGTATAAAAAATAGCGGATAGAAGAGAAAAACAATCGAAAATTCAATTAGTTTTTAACGAATGATGTTTGTTTAAAACATTGGTTAGATCATGGTACAATAATTACAAGGTATGGCAGAATGACTAAATTTGAAAAACACAACTCTGAAGCTAGAGTCTTGGATCTCAAATTTAGTTTAACAAATGCAATAGTTTGTTGTTTTATTTGACTAGTTTCTCCCAATATTTTTTATAATAAAATCGCCGTGGACTTTTCACAGCCTCGAGTTGTTGATTCAATTAAAATTCTTTTCATCCCAAAACGGAAGCATTCGTTCTTTCGAAAAGCTGTAATCATGGTAGAACTAAGAAGGTAAAGTCATGTAATCATATGTTTACAATTTTTTCTAATTTATACATTTGACAACATCTCATTCTCAAAATGTATACTTATAAATCCATTGTATTCACACAAAATCAGAGATGGGAAGTGTTTTTTATGCATTGAAGCTCTAATATGAATTTAAATTTTAACTGATTTTAATATTTTTAAATTATTTTGTTTATTATTAGAACAAAATATACTCATAAAAAACTGTAAACATTTTTTACATTACAAACTACCTAAAGAAAAAATTGTATTTAATTGATTACTATCTTCAATCCTTGTCTTCAATCTTTCATCTTTCAAACGCGCCCCGCAATGTACGTTTCTTCCAATCATTAATTTTGAAAATATTTTATTTTTCAAAACAGTAAGTACATACACAAAATTGGAAGAAGTCCGGCACACAGCTGGTAGCGCTACATTACCTTTTAGTTGTACCATGGTAGAAGAATATAGGTAGATGCATCAACGCTTGGGAAAATTTTTGAAATGTTGTTTCGAAAATAAATATATTTTTATATGTTTTCTTATACGACGCCAAACGGATATTATTATGATAATCATTTTTCAACAATTTTTACGAATTTTAATAACTTTTCATTCAACATTTTCAATTTCAAATTTAGTTTGACAGTTCATTGTTCCAGCAGCTGTTTCGATGCGACTACCTATATTCTTCTACCATGAGTTGAGTCAAATACTATCAAAAGCAAAGAAGAAATTGAACATTCGAAAGCAACACAGCACAGGACTAAACAGCTGTTTTGGTATAAACAATAGGGATCTATTAATCGTTTTGTTACTGTGCAAATATCCTGGCTGGCAATGCTTTACAAAGGGAATTCGTTTCTTTGTTGTATTTTTCAGAGTCAGCACCTGTTAACTTTTACATATCCTGTGTATGCCTTTTTGGCGCTTGTTCTGGTTTAATGGTGATTTATGAATTTTCCTTTGGCCAGGATCAAAGTAAAGTAAAAACGACCCTCAATCGATAACGCTGTAACAACCGATAACGACTTTTTGCACATTATCGATAATTCGAGTGGCGGTTTACAGTTCCCTAACCCTACTATACAGGCAGATTTATTTGCAAGGAAAAAAAGAGGAAAAGTGAATGAATTCGTTGTAAAATTTTCATAAATTATCCACAATATACTAAAAAAAGTTTACGAAAACTAAATAATTTGCAAAAACATACAATGGGGTTTGCAATAAACCAATAAAAACGCGAATGCAAACCGTGCGAAACCAAAAAAAAACAAATCTTAACTATTGCCAGGCAAAACAGTAGCTGTGAAAAACGACGGCTAGAAAAAGGAGAAAAATTCTACGCCGAAAAGGCAGACTAACTGAGAGAAGAAGCACATATCTTCTGGTCATCGGCGCTGTTTGGAGGACTGGATTTTTCCAAAACAACTTTGCCAAATGAGTGGAAATATGTGTGATATTTGTTCTGATTTCCAGCAATTATTGGAGTCGTGTAAGTAAAAAAGGACATTGGCTGAATGTGTTTATGTCGCCGAACACGTAGCCGACATCCATGCTCAATCATGCTGGGTGGTGTTTCCAATTTGGGAGGCATACATAGAACGGCATGTGATTTGTTTGAAATACATGTAAAAAAGCCGGTGCTGTAAACAAAATCCTAAAATCCTTATAATTTAATACCAAATTTTGACAAAGAAAAATAGAGCCTGCCTATGTCGTTTGCGTGAGTGCGTGTGTGTAGGAACAGCGATTGTCCCGAAATAGTGCTGAAAGAAAAAGAAAACGGGGGAGTAGAAGGAAAGGTGTGGAAGCGTTGTTAAAAGAGGTCTCAGTATTACTCCGATACCCTTACCTCCGGCTCATAGAGGAATGATACATTATATTTGTCCTCTGCAGGCTAACATAGACCAGTCTCATAAATTGTGTCACTGTATCTTATTTCAGTAAATGACAGTGGAGATATCCTTTTTAGTGAATGAATGTGATCACATTTAGTTACTGAACGTTCCTATGTTCAGTTTATACCTGTTACAGGCACAGTTGCTATATCTGTTTTAAGAATAAAAAAATTTTTAAGTAATATTTAAGTTCCTCGATACTCAGCCCAATACTTAGACATTGCAACATTCTCCTAATTATATTTGAAAGAATGATTTTCAAGTCTTAAAAGGAAAAATTATAATCAACCAACCCCATGGACGTATGACAGAATAAAACCTTTAGTCTATATTTCCCACCTACCGTTGTACTACTTTGTCCAGAACAGATATGTAATCAACCTATTGTATTCTATAGTTTAAACCATTGTCATTATATATGGAACTTATACATTTGATCTCATTCTCATCTCCTTCGGCTGAGAGCCACCACTGTTAAGCAGTGCTCTTCAAGAATGCCGTAAGCATTTTCCTTTTACCAGGTGCAACAGGGTGCCATTTTATTTCACCTTCACGAGAGAATTTTTTTGGAGGTCATATGATGCTGTTAATTTTTATAATTCATCCAGTTATCAATTATTATTCTAAAACTTGTATATCTTCCATTTCAGATGAGACACGAATAACCAGCAATGATGCCAAACATTCGATCATTTATAAAAGTGAAATTGAAACAGCATTTGGTTACATACAGGCATGGCCTCAAAGGCAATGCATGTGTCTATATCGAGACACGAAAAATTTCGAACGTTTCAATTTACTGATACAATCGATGATCTGCTTAGCGGTCCATCATTTGAAACACATTAAACGTTTAATTGAGGACTATAGAAAAATTACAGCTCATGCGGCTGCTACACAAGCCCCAGCACAGACTCAATCATCAGCCGGTAACTGCGCCAATGCAGAAGGCCAACCATCCAAGGAGGATGAAAAAACAACTACCACAACAACGAAAGAAGAAAATAAAGATGAAGACAAAAAAGATGCTGGTAGTACACAGAAGAAAATAGAATCAGATCCAGCAAAGGACGAAAAACTTAATAAAAAGTCGGGTAGCAGCTCCACAGACGATGAAAAACCACAGCCAACAAACCCCACAGAAGCTGTAACATCGAAAACATCGGATGATTCAACGCAGCAGTCATCGATTGTGTCGTCTGGTGGTGATAAAGCCGCATCCGCATCACAACCATCATCATCATTGTCACCATCCTCTTCAACAGTATCCCAACACACCGAAGAGCCTTGGATATTACCCGAAGTCGAAAAATTGCTACTCTTGGTATCCAAGATCTTTTTGCTCAATTTTCCACTATACATTGCGTATAAACACAGTACCCATGCTCGTCTGGACGATATATCGGCCGAAGAGGCACAACATTTGGCCATATTTTGTGATCTACATGACAATGAAATACCCGTTCACTTGTTGCGAAACACAACATTATTTTGTAACTCGAATGGCTTTGCAGCCATGAAGTTGTGCTTCGATCAACCTGATTTGCCGGTAACAACGGCCCATGCCATTACGGCCACAGTGTCGAATATAAAGTTATGGTTACACTACGGTTGCATTGTACAATTGTATGTACCGCTGAGAAGTAAAATATTACAATACATGTGTAAGCTGTCCGATCAAAATCTAAGGACAGCTGCCACCAGGGCAATGGCTGATTTTGTGTGGTCAGCTGTGCGAGATCCCTTGGATGCATCGGTTAGTTTTGACGTTGAGGGTTTGGCGTTGGCATTTAAATATTTCACTTCAACCACGTTGACAATGAGATTGGCTGGTAAGTTAAAAGTTATAAAAATATTGATATATTCTTTTTAATTTTTTTTCTATTTTTAGGCATCACACAAATCAATGCTCACATCAATATTTTTGGGGAGATCGAAACGGTTGGTGAATTTGAGGTTGTGGCCCAAAAGATTGCAAACTGGTTAACTGAAAATCAAATAATTCAGCATTTATTTGGTCCCAATTTGCATGTGGAAGTTTTGAAACAGGCCCACATTGTTTTGAATTTTTTGGCTGTGGAAAATCAAATTACCGAAGAACACATCAAACTTATTTGGCAGGCTACACAACAGCTAAAACACTGCTCCAAGGCAATTTTCGATATTCTGCCATCGCTGGTAAAGAATTTAGCTCCAAAACCTGCAATGTATTTGTATACTCTGTTGTGTCGCATGGATCCCAAGGAACACACAGAACAAAGTATTTATATTGCCTCGGCTCTGACCAAACTTATATGGTCCAGGGACTCGGCTCAATTGAGTTTGGAAGAAGAACTAATGGCGGCTAATGCCACAGCAACTAGTTCAGATAGCGGCAGCATGGATGGAAGTAATTCAGATGAAGGTAATGGCGATGACAGCAGTCTGGCTAGTGCCCGAAAAAGTCCCATAGATATTGAGAATGTATGCTCCTCGGATACGGGTGTAACACCCTGCAAACAGGCCAGACGCAGGCGTCAAATGCCCATAATACCGTTGGGAAAATTCGGAAAAGTTATTAATGAGGGTGATATAAAAATCATTAAACCCACCACAGATATGAAGTGAGTATTTTCATTTTGTTTATTTTTGTTTTTCAATGTAGTCAGGTTTTAATCTCCTCCTCAACATGTGTTGTTTTATAAAATATTGAGATAAATTACTATTTTTGTTTTACTCTTTCAGAATGAAAAATCATCGAATTGTAAATATCATCGACAATTCCAGCAGTGAAGATGACATGACCCAGGGATCGCTGAACATAACACTGCATCGAAAAAAATCGCGCAAAAGAACCCGCAAAAATAACAGTAATATGCCCCTGACACGATTGGCCTACGAAATTGTTGAAGCCATTTGTGATGGCGGTGAAGATGAAGCGTCAAGTGATGATGGCGACGACGGTGATGACCCGGAAGCTGAACTTCTGAATGATAGTGATGATTGTAGTGATACTGGACAAGTGTCGGGTGCTGTTTTGACCCATTTACATGGTGGAGGTCAATATATTAGAGCTATAGCAGAGACTCATATCAGCGAGCTGTTGAGTGGAGCTGAAAACGAGGGAAGCTATTCATCACCAATGAGTAATAAATCCGAGAAGAATTTGGCAGATTTTGATGATGAAGATGTTTCGCCATGCGAGGAAGAGATTGCCCAATTGGTGAGTTCTCATGCCCAGAGGGTTTCTCATAATTGCATGCCACCAGCCTTAGCTGCAGCAGCAGCGGCAATGGCTGCGGCCCACACAGCAATGTCAATGCAAAAAAATGATGCAAATGTAGCGGCGGCAGCAGCAGCTGTGGCAGTGGCAGCAGTTGCCACTGGCAATGCCCAACAATCGTTGTTGGCAATGCAACAGCAAGCAAATGCTGCCGCAATGGCCAAAGCGGTGACAGCCGGTCTCAATTCAAATGCTTCAGCAAGCAAACATGGTAATGACACAGAAATGGACAAGGAATGTAATAAAGCTGCGACTTCATCCATATCACCGCAACAACCAACATTTAAAATCAATGATGTCTGTCAGCCGGGTAATACTTTGTTATGGGATTTATTACAGGATGATAAAATTGTGAGTATTTTTGTATACTTTTTTATTTCAAAACTGTAATATCTTTTCCGCTTTAAACAGGGACAGCTTGGCGAATCATTGGCTCTGGAGGCAGAAAAGGCACTAGCCACATTGTTATGCTTTAGCAATGATCGTCATTTGCGCACGAAATTTATTGAAGGTTGTCTACAAAATCTTGCCAATAATCGCAGTGTTATTGTCTCGCTACGTTTGCTACCCAAGTTATTTGCATCATTCCAACAATTTCGTCCATCCGATACCCATCATGTTACAATGTGGGCTGAACGTCAGCATCGCATGATGTATCATTTCTTTAACAATATTAAATATTATGCCAAAAGGCATATGGAATATTTGGTAGCCAAGGCAGCGGGTGAACAGCAACAGCAAACGGCAAATGAATTGTCCCTATACTCGCACAAGACACAGGTGTCAGTACGTCTACAGTTTTTGTCATCGATATTTTCTTCGATGGGTTCGCCAAAGACTTTCAGGTAAATACCTGTGAAATTTTTGAATTTTGTCAAAAAATAACGTCTCTTTCCTTTTTCAGATTAAGTCTAGAACAAGTGGACGCCCTATGGGAATGGCTGGCCCATGATGTGGACTGTTCGGATTGCTATTTCTCTTGGCTGCAAAGTCAAGCCAAGGGAGGAGATCAGCATGCCTTAGGATTGGATGCATTGCAACATTTATATTTAAAAAAATTGCCTGAACTGAGACCAGAAGACTTTTCCATGGTTGCTTTGGGCCTATTTCAGCAATTGTGTAGTTTAGCTCGCATGGCCATAGCACATTATGAAAAGCAAATGGATGCAATTTCCACAAACTCATCAAATATTGTGGGTATGTTTCATCTCTGGAAGATTGCATTGAGGGCCCATACTTCGGAAGTGTCGCTGGCCGCCATTCAATACATAAATATGTATTACATGGGCCAGCAATTGCGACTGGAAAAGGAATTTGTATCACAATGCATGGAACATCTGACACAGGCTGCCAACGCATTGGAATGGTAAATAAAAACTACTCCCTTTCCAAAAGTGTTGTAATTTTATTTATTTTTATTTCTTTGAAAACCGCCTTCATAGCAACAATGAAGATGAGAATGCCCTGATGTGTGTCCAGCGTGGTTTAATGTTATTAAACACCCATTTAGATACTTTCCGACGACGTTACGCATTTCATTTACGACGTTGGGCCATTGAAGGACAGGGCATTGGTTCACATAGTAATCTCAAGAATGAAGGCTCAGGACCCGCCATACGTATAATACTACAGCCAGCGGGGCTGTCGGAAAAGTCAATATTACACATGCATGCTTGTGACTTAATTGCTGACTTAAAGGCAGAAATATCGAAATGGTAATTATTTGTTAGTGCACATTATAATACAGAAAATCAAACTGTTTTTTTTTTTTTGAAGGTGGGAAAATCTACAGGGTACTTCCAATTCTGGAGTATCTGCCCCCGTTTTGGGCCTCCTTTTAAGTGAAGGGCCATTACGGATAATAACACAAGGCCAGGAGCTATCATCGGAGTATGATGAAAGGTCATTGGGAGATGCAGGTTTTAAGGATAACCAGGTAAGGAAGCAAGTCATAATTATATATTCAATTTATATAGTCCCACCAGGCATTTGTTATTCAGCTTTATTTTAAAATGCTCCTATTAATTTCGTTCTCTTCCAGATTGTTTATGTATCGCTGGGAGGACGAGGAGCCCGACGCAAAGAAACGAATATCGATCATCCATCAATGCAACCGCCACCACCCAAAGAATGTTTACCCACAGTATTATTGCTACAACCGAAATATTTCGAAAAGCTCTTCTCGTTGATGCAAACTTTGGGCGATATGAAACCCCAACCGAATAATTTGCAATTGCATACCAAGGCACAGATATTATCACGACGTGTATGGGATATTTTGGCTATATTACCGACAAATCCCACAATTCTAGATGCATTCAAAGGTTTGGCCAGTGATCTGACGGAATGTGACCAGTACGCGAATGGTCAGGAACAGGAGAAAGAAAACAAACATAAAGAAATCAAACAAAAATTATGTGAACTATTGGACCCAATTAATTTACAAAAATTTATGTATTCACTACATATTGTGGAGAGTTTGGCATTGCATAGTGTATTTCAGCAACGTGGTGGTGCACCATGTTGTGGGGGAATAAATGGTAATATTATCAGTGTTGAATCGGGTCGCGGCAGTGCTGGTAGTACGGCAGCAAAATCTAAGAAAGCCAGTAGCAGTTGTGCAGGTACGTGTTCCGGAAGTGGCAGTGGAAGTGGTAGCTGTCCTGGCAGTGCTGGCGGCAGTGTATCATCCGGAGCCAGAAGACGTGACAGCATCGAAAGTCCCCAGAGCAGTAATAATAACAAAGACCACGAAGAAGATTCTTCCAAGCCCATTAGTAGTGATGAAAGGGATAAAGAATTTTCCGCGGACATGGGAAAGGAAGGAAATTCAACAATGATTTCTATGGATACACCAGAAAGTGAGCAACACACTTCAGCTAACAATGCAACCACAAGTGATAAGGAGCCCAGTAGTCCCCTCAAACACATGGCAAAAAAGGCAAAGAAATCGGAATGTTCTGCATCAACGCAAATGGACACATCCACAACGACCGACAATAAATGGAGTGAAATTTTTATACGTAGTGGCGGCTTAAAACATCTTTATGATATCTTCATATCGGGCCAATTACAACAAAGCTCCTATCCCAAAGAATTGTTAAATGAATGGCGACACGATTGTTTGGCCAGTCTCTTGCGCATTTTATGGCTGTTGGGATTCGAAGAGGATTATCACGAGGATATGCTGGTGTCCATTTCAAAGCCCAAAGAGTTCATGTTGGAAATGATGTCAGTAGATTCTTGCTTAAGGCGTCTTTCTTCCATATTGAATGATGAAGCCTATAGCAATTATTTAGCCACCACTTCAAGCTATCAATATCACCATTTGAGAACTGGATTTTGGGGTCGAGCCCAAGTTGTACAGTTTGCTATGAACATCATGGTCAGTTTTGTTCATGCCTCTGTTGAGGCTAGACGATCGTTGTGGGCTCATGCCGAGTACTGTAACTGGGTGCAGAAATTCATTTTGGAAGATCCGGAACCGGCAGTTAGGCGAGAAATTTGTGCCGGTCTATATCGCATATGTTTGGGTAATTCTCAAAGCTATCAGCAGCTGTTGGCACCATTGCTGAGGAAATTGATTTCGTTTTTGCCCGTGGCAGAAAAAATGACCTCTTACAATCACCACAATCCCTATATGTTGACGGATGATGGCAAGGAGCCTTATGGTCCGGCTTGTCGTGATTATTTTTGGTTATTGGCCCGATTGGTTGATACTCTATCACCGGAAATGGTTAAATCTTCTCTGGAGTCATCTGCCTACAATGAAGATGCCATTGATGTTGAAAAGCTATGCCAGTCGGTGGCACAGAGTATACTCACGCGTGAGTTCTATGAAACCCGTTACGGAATGCAGGACGATGGCTTGGTTGGTCTAATCAATCTCATGTCGAATTTAGTAAAATATGATCCCACCTTTAAGTTCAGTTCCCAGGCTGTACAATTCATAGAGAAGATATTTGAATTTTTATTTGATATGCCCTCGCCAAATAATCGTCAAAAACCCAAATGCAAATCGGCCACATCGAGAGCAGCGGCCTATGATCTTTTGGTGGAATTGTGTAAGAATTGTCCGAAAAATTACACATTTTTGCATCAGAAGCTGTTGGCGCAACATACGCCCGGACCAATGCCACCATATCCATGGGACTATTGGCCACGCGATGAAGGACGTTCGGAGTGCGGCTATGTGGGTCTGACAAATTTGGGTGCCACTTGCTATATGGCTTCCTGTATACAACATCTCTATATGATGCCACAGGCCAGAGCTGCTGTTCTTCGAGTCCCACCAGGCAAGGCCCAAAAACATGCACCCACCCTGCGTGAACTACAACGCATGTTTGCATATCTCTTGGAATCTGAACGCAAAGCCTATAATCCACGATCCTTTTGTCGTGTCTACCAAATGGATCACCAGCCACTGAATACGGGCGAACAAAAGGATATGGCTGAATTTTTTATTGATCTTGTCTCGAAACTGGAAGAAATGACTCCTGACCTTAAGGATTTAGTCAAACGTCTATTTTGTGGTACTTTAAGTAACAATGTCGTCTCATTGGACTGTGATCATGTCTCTAGGACAGCTGAAGAATTCTATACGGTACGTTGCCAAGTAGCTGATATGCGTAACTTGCAGGAATCCTTAGATGAGGTGACTGTCAAAGACACATTGGAGGGTGATAATATGTATACATGTTCGCAATGTGGCAAAAAAGTTAGGGCTGAGAAGAGGGCATGTTTTAAGAAATTGCCACAGATTTTGTGTTTCAACACGATGCGTTATACCTTTAATATGGTGACAATGCTGAAGGAGAAGGTTAATACACATTTTTCATTTCCCATGCGTTTGAATATGTCGGATTATGTGGAGAAAACTCTAATGCCACATCAATATAAAGGTGCGTTCAAAGATTTCAGTTTTATATATACATTGTTATTGAAAAGATACTTTTGTGGTTTCCCATGTTTTAGAGGATCGTGAAAAACGAAAAGCAGAAAAAGGAGGAAATGCTAATGATTTGGAGGATGACTTAGAAGAATGTTTAGAGTAAGTTCTGTTTGGTGCTTATTTGAATTCATTCTAACGTGGGCATTTTTTAATTATCAAAGATATGAACTTGTGGGGGTCACTGTACATACCGGCACTGCTGATGGTGGCCACTATTATAGTTTCATCAAGGAGCGCAATAAGTCTGCAATGCAACATGATCGTTGGTTCCTTTTCAATGATGCTGAAGTCAAGCCCTTCGATCCTTCACAAATTGCAGCTGAATGTTTTGGTGGAGAAATGACGGTAAACCCAACAAATTATATTTACCAACACAAAAATGTTAACAAAAATGTTTTTCTATTTCAGAGCAAAACTTATGATTCCGTGACAGAAAAATATTTAGATTTTAGTTTTGAAAAGACTAATTCGGCCTATATGTTGTTCTATGAGCGAAGATTGCCTGAACACCTCAAAGAAAAACATGCCCATCTCTTGGCTTCGCCACCAATGACAATAAGTCCAAAGATGAAAAACGAAACGTCAACGGATGAAGGTTCAAAGGAAAAAGAAAATGTTTCACCAATTGAAGGAAAAGAAATGAAAGATTCACCGGAAGGCAAATGTGATAATAAAAGTAAAAGCCCCGAAGAAAAGGCAACTGATAAACCGACCACAGAAACAGAGATACCATCCACATCAACGGGATCCACATCATCGTCATCCAATGTTGCTGCAATAACGCCCACATCCAGCAGCTTGGCAAATAAAGCAACTGATCATTTTATAAGACCACAATTAAGTAAGGAACTGGAAGACTGGATATGGCAGGATAATAGACAATTTTTACAAGATCGCAACATATTTGAACATACCTACTTTAAGTAAGTTTAATATTTAAGCATTTACAAACTCCTAGTAATTTTATATTCAACTTTCCCTTCAGTTTCATGTGGCAAATTTGTGGCCATATCCCACAAACCTTGATATCTCAGCAAGATGTCACTTGCATGGCTGCTAAGCTGTCCGTATCGTTTTTTATTGAAACATTTATACATGCCAAAGAAAAGGTACGTTCGTTGTTTTCGATCGTTTTTATTATTTAAGGGTAATAATCTGAAATGTTATATTTTCAGCCAACTATGGTACCATGGGTGGAACTTTTGACAAAACAATTCAATGCCAGCCAGGAGGCTTGTGAATGGTTTTTGACCCATATGTCAATGGAACCATGGTGGCCAGTACAAGTTTTAATTCAATGTCCCAATCAAATGGTTCGCCAGATGTTTCAACGTTTGGTCATACATGTTATTCAAAGACTGCGGTAAGTTGTAGTTAATTTGCTACGGAGTAATATTGAAAGTTATTGCATAAGGAATGTTATTTTAGGTTTTAACAGGATTAATATTCGTGCCCTTTATAAATATTTTTGAGGGGAAAATAGAAGAAAATGTGCAGATTTTTTAAGAATGTTTGGGTAGAGATTTTTTTGTAGCAATTGTGTGTAGGTTATTCAAGAATATTTTGAGGGAAGAAGTTATCTATATCGGTGGAGTTTAAAATGAGAGAGAAGATATATAATGGTTATTATTTTTTAAGAACCTTTTGTAATGGATCTCAATTGAGCTACATCGTTCATTTATTAAGAAGTGGTTTTCAACGACGTTTGACATTTTTTTCTTATGAAACTATTGTGTATTGTTTGGACAAACATATTTTAAGAATTTTTTAGAAATTTTGTTCAGGGGAATATTGGTGGACTTTTTAGAATATTATCTGAAAAAACAACGCGATTTTTTTTAGAATACAGGGTGAGATAAAAAACTGCAACAAAGTCAACCGCCATAATTGTTATTTTGTTTTTTAAATTTTATTAAATGAAAGCAAAAAATGTCGGAAATAGCATCAAATTTTAGAATAAGTTTAGATTTGTTCGAATTGGTCACATTTGGCACGAATTATGGCCTTCAAATGGCCAATGAAACCGCCACACGCTGTCCGAATGTTGCTCTGCGGCCTCTTGGCCCAGTACCGGCGAAGCGTTTGCTTGAGGTGATCGACACTTTGGTATTTTTTAGTGCCAACCTTGCTTTTCAAAATACTCCAGACACAATAGTCCAATGGATTGCTATCCGTAGATTTTGGTGGCCATTGTGCACTGGAAATGAAGAGAGTAATCTGATTTTGTAAGCATTCTTGGGTGACACGTGCTGAGGCGATGGTGCTGAGTCCTGTTGCAATGTCCAAGGTTTGCAGCCAAAATGTTTGCGTGCCCAAGGCTTTAATACACCCTCCAGAATATTTTCGCGATAATATTCGGCATTTATTCTGATGCCAGGGTAGATTAATACGAGCGGAGAGCGACCATTGGCTGTTATGGCGGCCCACACCATCACCATGGCCGGCGCTTGAGACTCTTTTGAGTCTATTTTCTTCCTGTTGCGGTGTAAGTTCTTGCACTTTTTGAAATTGCAATGGCTCATTTTTCATTTTTAAATATTTGCCGAATGAAATATTGCGATATGTTTAGCTTTCGAGCCATTATTCGTCCACTGCGACACGGGTTTCGATCAAGTCGATACTTTACTTTTCGAACCATTTCTGCTGATGTTGCTGTTTTCTTCCGTTCACTTCTTTGACGTCGGGCTACGCTGCCATTATCACGGTAACGAGCGATGGTACAAGACACAAAAGATTTATTCACATTTAAATGCTAGAGTGCTCTAACGATAACCACTTGTGGTTTTCCAGCCAAATTCCATCACAAATAACTTTTTTTCTGGAAAATTCTCACCAAAATGCTTCTCACTCGAATAATTTTAACAGCTGTCAGACGAGTGGCTTAGAAATGACAGCAGTTTGAAGTGGGTTGCAGTTTTTTCATCTCACCCAGTACTTTTTGAAAAGGCAAAGAATATTTTTTGAGAAGAGAAATATTTTTTTAAGAAAAAAAACGTGATTTTTTTTATATATTTTTTGAACATAAAAACGTGGATTTAGAATATCTTTGGATATCGTGGACTTTCTAGGAATATATTTTGAAGTGAAAAACGTGGAATTGTGGATTTTTAATCATTTCTTTTAAAGGGGCATTCGTGAATATTGTGGGAATATTTTTGGAGACTTAAAAATTTTTTTAAGGCTCAATCGAGGGATTATTTAAGGAATATATTTTATTTGTGTGGATATATTTTAAAAGGAACATCGTTATTGTATTTGAGGGACAATCGTTGATTTCTTTTGAAATCAATTTTTGAAGGGACTGTCAAGGATTTTTTCAGAATGTTTTTAGGTTCTTCCTGAGACGACAAGCGATCTATTTAGTAGAATATTTTTGTAAGGGATATTTGAGCTATGATCCTGAATTGTTATACCCTCAGCCAGCCATGTGGCTAAAGATAACGAACTTAAAAAAATGTATAAACTAATAACATTTATCAGAAATGTTTGCCTTATTTGGGCGATGGCCGATTAAGTTATGAATTACCTTAGGATTTGACACCGAAATTTAGAATCTAACAAAGTCCCACACATAATCAGGTATGCGACGAAGATCAATTATGGAAAGTTTTATGCGTATATCATAGGAAAAATGCATCTATAATCTGACTCTAGAAACCTATGTATATTCTAAAAAACATTGTAATACACTTATTGCAATTTTATGTTTCAAATTCAAATGTGTTTCAAATATCCTGTTAAAAGTAAAAGATTCAGACATATATGTAGATTTGGTAATTTTATTATTTTCATTTTTTGGTAAAAATGTTTAATTTTATTATTGAAACATTCAAATTTATAAAATCAAATTACTATGGTCCTTAAATCTTTGTGGTAGTTTCAACGGTGGATGTTGGCATTGGGGAGTCTGTGGTCGAAGATGATGGTGGCGATTGCATGGTTGTTGAAGACAATGTAGACAAGACTGTTGATGTACTTTCTTCAATTGGTTTTGGTGGTTTTGGTGTTGTCATTGTCTTAGTTGGTTTTTGATTTGTATTAAACGAAAATAAATCCAATAGGTTCTGAAATATAAAATGAACGTTTAGGATTTTTTTGTTAAAATATATTTTGTAAATTTAATTTGCAATTTTAAAATTTTTAAGTATTTTTACCTGTGAAAAGTTATCCAAAATTGTGAAGAAATTCTGTTTAGCGTTTGCTAAACTCTTTTCTATTTCACCAAGAAAATCTGTGCTTTTTTGTGGTTTACCATTGTCTCCACTCTCTAGGTTTGCATCCATGTCCACATAGTCAAATGGCAAAAACGCCGAAATTTGTGATGAAAATATCAGCAGAATTACAAAAGAAAGTAACACTTTCATTTTGTCTGACATTAAACTATATTTTTCCACAGGTATCTTGAAAATGATTGAACTCAATTGAAATACTTAGCATTTGAACTACATATTAATGGCTAGAATAGTTTCTTTTGGTTTAATCTGAAAAAAAAAAAACATTTGTGTAAACAAACTTAACTTTTGGAGAACAAACAACGAAAAGGTCGTCTAAGTTATTGACATTTGAGATTTTTAACCCTTTCAGAGGTATTTCATATTTGTTATTTTTTACCAAAAACATTTTTTCCTTATTTACAGAGCCTCACATTGCCATCTTTATTTGAAAACCGAATCGGATGTCGATGACAAGGAGGTCATTGGAACAGCTTCATGTGTTACTCGTTTCATAAGTTCATTGACCATACTAATGGAACATGGTGCTAAAGCCCATTTACGCAATCTTTCCGAGTTCTTTGGCTTGCTATTCGAATTTTCACGCATGGGCGATGAGGAAACTTTGTTTCTGTTACGCATTGGTGTTATAAAAAGTGTGGCCGATTTCTATTTGGGCAATAAGACTCATGAAGTAAGTTTAATCGCTATTTGTTAAGCAATATTTATTAATTATGACTTAATTTTCAGCTTGAAGTTGGTTCGGATAACGATGATAATTCCTCGGATGAGGCATTATCGGTGGATAAGACAAGGCCAGCTTCATTGGATAAAATGATTGCCTTGGTGGCAAGCTTAGTTGAACGATCGAGGGGAGCAGATTTGCGTTTGAAATTGTCGCCCAAGGACTATAACGCCATTGCAGGCGGCAAGGTAAGTTCAGATAAGTTATATATTTTGCAAGGTAATGTAGATATTATCTTTGAATCTTGTATAGGGTTTCCCGTTTTTGTATCAACAAATTAAAGATAACATAAATCCTCATCAAACAAGGCATTTAATACATGCTCTCTGTCGCTGGGACGAGCGTTTGGCCAATCAAATCATAACCATGTTGTTTACATCTGTAACCAAGCACACTGAATTGTGTGGTCCTTTCTTTAAGCTATTGACATTGTTGACAGAAACTCAGGGTGGACCCTCAGGCCTGCCATGTTTTTCTCAATTAGTTTTGCAGCGGGTTTGGGATGCTGCCGAATACTGTCCACAGTCGGCATTGGATTGGCTGGCTTTTCAAGCACCCAAAAATAAAATAGCACATGCCTGGATCTTACAATCGGCCGATACATGGGTGGAGCAATATTTGCTTGCCCATCACAATTCAAGAGTTCGTAATGGTGCGTATAAATAAGGAATCGTTTATCGTTTATTTTTAATTGTCTGCAACTTAAATATATTTCAGCTGCTGCATATTTACTGGTCTCACTGGTACCATCACAGCCATTTAGGGCTAACTTTCGCATACATTCACTGCACAAATTATCATCGTCTTCATCATCTCATGTTTATCGGTGAGTGAGAACTTTATTTTTTCTCCAAAAATATCAATTCAAATAAAATACCTATTTGTCTTCTCTTCCAGTGAACTTAACAACGATGCTCAAATAATTCTACACAATATCATTAATTTGCTGTTACGTTTATTGCGGCCAGCAAGAGCATACGCCGATATTGGCGTTCATGGTACAACAAAATTAACTTCTTACTTTAGCCTTTTAGCATATTGTATGGCATCTAAGACTGAAAAACTTATGGTAAGAATAGTTTCATCCTAAGAAGAAAAATTTCACAAAGTTTTTTTGTTTATTTGATTTTTTTGTAGATGGGTCCTTACATGCGTGCTTTGTGGGATCTATTTCATCCACGTTTGTCAGAGCCAAGTGTACCAGCTCATCACAATAAACACGCTTTGTTGGCATTTTGGCATCATACCATCCTCGATTGCCCCGAAAATGCATTGATTGTAGCAAACTGTCCAGAAATCACAAGGAATATAGCATTTAATTATATATTGTAAGTATTTTGTGGAAGCGATGGTCTTAAACTCCAATAGGCTATTCCAAAAAAAAATAATAATAATAATAATAATAATAATTCCCTTGGATACAAATCAATGCCCTAAAAATCCCTTAAATTGGGAAACTACAGAAAGTTACCAAGACCTTAAAAATGCCTTTGAGAAAGTTAAAAGTTCAAAAAATAACGAAGGCCTTAAAAATTCCTTTGAGGGAAGTTTAAACATACTCGATCGTTAAATCCAAATCTCTCAAACAGAGATTCTTCAGAAAGTTACCAAGGCCTTAAAAGTATATTTGAAAGAAATATTAAAATATTCGGTCGTAAAATCCAAGTCCTTCAATAGAGAGACGTCAGGATGTTGCCAAGGCCTTGAAAATTAATTTGAAGAAGAAGCATAAAATCGTGAAATCCAAATCCCTTAAATAGAATAAAGTCAGAATGTTGCCAAGGCTTAAACATTCGTTTGAAGAGGAAGTATAAAAATTCTCGATTGTCAAATCCTAATTCCTTAAATGGGGAGACCGTTCAAAGGTATTCTTAAATAATCCATCATAATAGTTCTTAACAAAAATATGTTTAAAAAACTTAATGTTATACAGGGTGAGATAAAACTCTGCAACAAAGTCAAACGCCATAATTTTTACATTTTATTTTAAATTTTATTGAATGAAAGCGAAAAATGTCGGAAATAGCATCAAACTCTAGAATAAGTTTAGATTTGTACAAATTTGTCACCTTTGATCACGAATTATGGCCTTCAAATGGCCAATGAAACCCGCTGCCCGAATGTTGCTCTGCGGTATTTTGGCCTATTCCCGGCGAAGCGCTTGCTTGAAGTGATCGAAACTTTGGTATTTTTTAGTGCCAACCTTGCTTTCCAAAATACTACTGTCAACTATCAAAATGAGTTTATGAGTCAGTCGTCGTTGAGCATTGACCGAGAGCGGACGCATCTAAGGAGCGTAGAGCATATTGCATTTTAAACTTTGTATTTATTCCCAGAATTACTTTTATTTTTAAATAAAAACCATCTTGACAGAATCAGAAGTGGGATAAGAACAGAAATCTACAAGGAATTTCATCATTTTGGATAAGAATTGCAGAAAAATACTCAAAGAGCTGAGAAACTAAGGCGTCAAAGTGATGTAGTAGTGAAGAGCTCAATGCAAAGCAACAACGACGACCAAAGGAGAAACCACGCAAAGGCACCTAAACTCAAAAGTTCGAGTGAGTTTAGTGAGAGTGTGTAACGTGCTCAAAGAGAGCAAAGGAGAAAGCATCAATCAAAGGAGAATGTACAAAGGTATACTCAAAAGTGTGAGTGAGTAGGACAACGATAGTACATCAAGGAGATTGAAAGCAAGACATAAAGAGGGGAACCCCGAAGAAGAAGTTTAAAAAGGGAAAAGTTAACGTATATTTTTAGGGCGTGCGGCTTCTAAAAAAAAGGAATAGTTCTAGATTTGCTGAAGTAACGAATTAAAAAGGAAAATTCACAAGGAAAAGTATGAAGGTGAAAATAAGTTCGTTAAAGGTTGCGGAGCTAGACAAATTATTACTGGCAAGAAGCTTACCACGAACAGGAAATAAGTCCGAGAAAATTGCTAGACTCATGGCTTGCAATGGAAATGACGAAGTGGAAGTTGAAGATTCAGAGTCACAGGAGGATTTCCATGGATTTGATGAAGCTGAGACGGGTGATGATTCTCTAACAAGTCAAATGCGAGAGCTAAAGGATATAATGTTGACTCTAGCAAGAAGTGTGCAACAGTTAACAACACTTTCAACAGAAAGGGCTATTACGTCAAATGCAGGGTTAAATTCAAGGGATACAGAACAGCAAGTTCCAGCTGAAGTAATATCAAGACAATCTGGTTCCGGAACATCTGGTTGTTTAAAGGATTACATAGTAATGATACCAGACTTCGATCCAATTAAAGGAAATGTTACATCAGTCCAATTCATTGACAAGGTTGAAACGTTGCAAAGGCTTCATGGATGGTCAGATGAAACAACTTTGTTTGCAGTTCATCATAAAATGAGTGGTGTTGCTAAAATGTGGATAGATGCTTTACCAGTGGTTGAAACATGGAAAGAGTTCAGACAACAATTTTTAAAGGATTTCCCAAGTCGAGTAAGTGTTGCTGACATTCATCGTGAACTTATAGCTAGGAAACGAAACTCGAATGAGTCTTTGGTGGAATATTATTACGCAATGTTGGCCATAGGGAAAAGAGGAAGCGTAGATGAGGCATCAATACTGTCGTACATCATAAATGGTCTCAATGATAGCAGCTTAACAAGAACACTTTTAGCTATGAACCCGCAGACATGTAGTGAATTATTAAGGTCGTTGGAGAATTTGACCATACAAACGTATGCAAGGAAGCAAACAAAGAATGACGAGGATGACAAAACCGCAAGTGTCTCAGGTGGAGCGCCAACCAAGGGAGTAAAATGTTTCAATTGTAACAGGTTTGGGCACATCTCAACTAGTTGCCCACAACCATTGAAGAAGCCGAAGTGTAGTAAATGTGCAAAGATTGGTCACGATGCATCGCAATGCAAAGGTAAAGGTACAACTGTGGCAGCAATGACAGAAGAGTCTAAGGATTACTGCCCACCGGTTATGAAAGATGTTACGGTCAATGGTAAGACATATGAAGGTTTTGTGGACACTGGAAGCGACTTTACCTTAATGCGGAAAGCTGTAGTTCCAGAGGGTTGCGATATGGAAGTAACGTCAAAAAGAATGAAAGGTTTTGGTGGATCTATTGTTGAAGTGGTGGAAATGTTTGAGACTAACGTTGTCATCGACGAGGAGAGTTTAATGACTACCATTTATGTAGTGCCGAATGACTTGATGCGATATGACGTTCTCTTAGGAAGAGACGTATTGTGTAAGAAGCAAACAAAACTTACAATTGAGCATGGTGTCTTGAAAGTAAAGTCAACAATGCCAAGTACATTTAATGTCGGAGAAAGTCTGGATGAGCATCAAAAGGAAAAATTAGACCAAATACTGTCGTCATTCAAGGACTGTTTTGCTGAAACCCTTGAAGACCTTGGAAGGTGTAAAAATACACAAATGGAAATAAGTTTATCTACGGACAAGCCTGTAGTTGGTAAAAGATACCAAGTTCCATTTTCTCAAAGACAAATTCTGTCAGACATAATTGACAAGTTGCTTCGATGTTGCATTATTCGCCCAAGTGATTCGCCCTATGCAGCATCAGTATTGTTGGTCAAAAAGGCGAACGGTGAAAGTCGTATGTGTACGGATTATCGAGCATTAAATGAAGTCACCATCAAAAAGCAGTACTCGATGCCAGTGGTTGAAGAACAACTTTCGTTGTTATCTGGAAATAAGTATTTTACAACGTTAGACATGACATCAGGATATTACCAGATACACGTCAAGGAAGAATCCAAGAAATTCACGGCGTTTATAACACCAGACGGTCTATATGAATATAATGTAATGCCTTTCGGATTAACAAATGCACCGATGGTCTTCCAGGAAATGATAACCCAAATAATACGTAAGTTGAAACATCGGAGAAACATCATAAGTTATGTGGATGAGGTGATAATCCCGAGCTTGACGATTAGTGAAGGACTCCAAGTACTAGAAGAGTTCCTAACCGCCATAAGAGAAGAGGGGTTGACGCTAAGGCCAACTAAATGTTCGTTCCTTCAGGAAAGTGTAAGTTTCCTAGGTCATACAGTGAGTGCTAATGGTATACGCCCTGGAGAAGAGAAGACAAAATGCATTGAAGAATTCCCAAGACCCGAAAGCGTATCAGATGTGCGCAAGTTTATTGGCATCACTAACTTCTTCCGCAAGTTCGTGCCAAAATATAGCCAAATAGCCATGCCACTTACGAGACTAATGAAAAAGGATGCTGTATTTATCTGGAAAGAACCTGAGGAGAATTCTTTTATTACCCTGAAGACCAGAATTACAACACAACCAGTTTTGGCTCTGTTTGATCCAAATAAGGAACACGAAGTACACACGGATGCTTCTTCTATTGGTTTGTCTGGAGTATTGTTGCAGTATGAAGGTGAGGAACTGCGTCCAGTTTTCTACTACAGTCGTAGGTGTACTGAAAGTGAAGGAAAATATGCCAGTCATGAACTCGAGGTATTAGCAATTGTTGAGACGCTTGAAAGGTTTAGAATTTACCTACTCGGAAAGTGCTTCAATATTGTCACAGATTGCAATTCCATAGCAACAACAAAGGCGACGTCTCCATTACCCCCTCGTATAGCTAGATGGTGGTTTAAATTGCAGGAGTTTGATTTTACCATTACTCATCGCTCAGGTGCCAAGATGACTCACGTGGATGGGATGAGCAGAAGTCCAACGTTACCATCAAGTCAATCCCGAACAGTAGCGGAAAATGTTCTGGCACTCACAATGAACATTAACGACTGGATCTATCAACTGCAAATGTCGGATAAGAAGCTGAAACACATCTTTGAAGTTCTCAATGGTAATTTACAAAACGAGGTAAATGAAATTAAGCAGATCAAAGCGGACTACGTCATAGAAAATGGGAGGCTATTTCGCAAAGTCAACAATATGAAACGTATGGTGATTCCAGAAAGAGTCCGGTGGCGAATAACTAAGGCTTGTCATGACGATTTGGGACACTTCGGTGAAGAGAAAACTCTCCAAAGGCTTCAACGTGATTTCTGGTTCCCGAGAATGAGACGTTATGTAAAATCATACATTCAGTCATGTCCGGAATGCTGCTACAACAAGGTAAAAGGAGGCAAGGCAGAGGGTGAACTACATATTGAGGAAGTCCTACCAATTCCATTCAGAAGTATCAACATCGACCACATGGGTCCCTTCCCAAAAAGTAAGAAAGGAAATCAATATGTATTCTTGATTGTCTGTTCGTTCAGTAAGTACACCATTATAAAGCCAACCAGGAATACAAAGACTGCTCCGGTTATAACAGCGCTGCGAGAAGTTATGTCGATTTTCGGACAGCCACGAAGAATTGTATCGGATAAGGGAACGGCGTTCACGTCTAAAGAATTCCAACAGTTTGTGGAATACAACGGAATACAACATGTACAAACAGCAGTCCGAACACCAAGAGCCAATGGCCAAGCCGAGCGGATCAACCAGACAGTTTTGAATGCGTTGAAATGTCTAGTAGGTGATACAAAAGAATGGGACACTGAGACAACAACGATACAGTGGAGTATTAACTCGCAGCTGAATGCGACTACAAAGTTCAGTCCAAATGACTTAATATTCAACTTTAGTCTCAGAGATGTCAGTTACAATAGAATTATCCAGGCGGTTGGTGATGAAGAAAGAGAGAATTTCGATGTTAGGGTAATTCAACAGCAGGCTGTTGCTAACATCCAGAAACAAAAGGAAAAATGGAAAGCAAGATTTGACAGCCGTCATGCCAAGCCAACTCAGTACAAGGAAGGCGATTTGGTGGTGATAGACACGGTACCGCAGCCTACAGGAGAATCGCATAAGTTGGATGCGCGGTATAAAGGACCATACATCGTCACGAAAATTATCGGAAACGATCGTTATCTGGTAGAGGATCTGCCGGATTTAAGTTTGAAGCAAAGGAAATATTGCGGTGTTATGTCGACGGATCATATGAAGCCCTGGTGCTATGGTGATCCAAGTCTCGAAATCGAAGATAAAGATGAGTCTGATGATAGTTCGCCCAGGAGGGACGAAGAGTCAGGAGAGGCCGAATTGTCAACTATCAAAATGAGTTTATGAGTCAGTCGTCGTTGAGCATTGACCGAGAGCGGACGCATCTAAGGAGCGTAGAGCATATTGCATTTTAAACTTTGTATTTATTCCCAGAATTACTTTTATTTTTAAATAAAAACCATCTTGACACTACAGACACAATAGTCCATGGGATTGGTATCCGGAAAATAAGAAAATAGATCGATTGGCCTTATATGAATTCTCTCAGCACTCATCATAGCCGCACAAAAATATACTTTATTATGAGACGAGGAAACTTTAAATATATTCTAAAAAAATCAACACTGACAGCCCTGTCTTTTAACTCTGATAGCCCAAATTTTTCTTATAAAATCTTCAACTGCATTCCAATTGGTCATATTAAATTTTTTCCTTCAATACACTGTAATGACCCCAATCCAAGATAGTAGGTCTGATGATGATTATGATGAGTATCAGAAAAAGATCCTCAAAAATATATTCTTAAACTATTTACAAATCATTTGTTTGTTTTTTCTCTCTTTAGAGCCGATCACGACGATTCCGAAATTGTGGCCTATAATCGCGCCATGTTGCCAGCCTATTATGGTTTATTGCGTTTATGTTGTGAACGAAGCCGTAGTTTAACACGTCAGCTGGCCGCTCATCAAAATTTGCAATGGGCCTTCAAGAATATTACGCCGCATCCCACACAATATGCGGCCGCTGTGGATGAACTTTTCAAATTGATGACCCTATTTGCCACACGTCACATGGATGCCAGTGACCAGGAAAAACATGAAGTCACCACATTCCGTCGTACCACATTGTCAGCTTATTTAACGGGACTAGATGCCCGGGTTTCATGGGGCACATTGATTAATGCTTTTCGAATATTAGGTAAGACAGAGTATATTGATTTTTTCATTCATTAAATCATATGTGGCGTTTTGTTTCGTTTTTTTTTCTAGTTGACAATGAAGAAGATCGTCTCCTGGTCATATATAATGGTGGCTTGGAGATGTGTTTTGAGGCATTGCACACACTACATTCCATGCATCATGAGGCCACTGCCTGTCATGTCTCGGGTGACTTGCAGGAATTGTTAAGCGAAATGGTTTTACTTTTGAGCACACTGCGTTTGAGTACACGCCTCGACAGTAATGCTAGCAAAAAACAACAGCAACAATTGGAACAACAGGTGCAGCAGTTGCAACAACAGCATCAGCAATTGTTGCAAAAACAACAGGAACAATTGAAACAACAACAGCAGCAACAGTCCCAACAACAGTCGCAACAGTCTCCACAGCAAACACAACAGCAGCAAAAAGAAAAACAGCTACAGCAACAAATGCAGCAAATACAGATACAACAAATGCAACAACAATTGCAGCAACAACATTTTTTGCGTCAACATCAACAGCACACAGCTCTGTTGAAGGGTCTACCGGACGCCGTAAAACGATTGGCTACATTCTTAAATACCTACAGCCCACCGGAATTATGCTGCCTGGCCTTGGATGTACTTAAAGAGCTTGTGCGTAATCCTAATTTGGATGTAACCAGTATTTTAGCACCCATTCTACTTAATTGTCATTTGTCGGCGGCCAGTGCACCCAATGCAATTGGTCCGTTGGGTCCATACTTCCCGCGCCGAGGAGGAAAAACAACATGGCCAACTATGGCCAAAAATATGCCACGACCACCGAGACCGATGGTGCAAATGTGTATACCACACAGTGAACTGTTGCATCGCGGTGTAGACTTTGCCTATGATGCCCAGGTTGAGGCATTCTACAGGCCATATCACGATTTTCTGGATGTAATGATGAGAATGGCTGTAAATACAAATCAATTGAATGATACACTGGTTAGATTGAGCTGTTTGGCGGCCATAGAAGCAGCTCCGTTGGGTTTTAATTATTTTCCCAAATTTTGGGTTGGCATTTATAATAATAAGAGTACTAATAAGTAAGTTTTGTTAGACACATTTTACCGATTGTAAATTTATGATTAATTCTTGTATATTTTTTGTTTCTCAGATATGCGGAACTGTTGCTTAATACTCAATATTTGGTGGAATATATACATATAATACTGCGGGACTGTCGTGTCTCGTTGAGTGATCAGTATATAAGAGGATTTTTGGAAATCTACTATCCCAAGGTATAAGTAACCCCTGAAATCTCTCTATAGGCAAATTAAATCATTTTATGTTTCGATATTTTTAGGTCTCCTCCCAGTTACCCATTGCACGTCTTTTGTACTCCATTAGTTATTCCATGCATTCAAAAGAGGACTTGGATGATTTGTGCGGCGATCTTTTTGCCATAAGGGTTTTTGCCCAATGCACTGGCATACCGGCCTCAGTTCGCAAACAATTAAGGGGATCTCTTAAGGCTTTACTGTACAAAAGCGCCCGTTATCAAAAAATTGCAGAGGATGGTAAAACTAAATGCGCATATAAAAAAAATTACAAAACTCTTAACAATTTTCTTTTTGTGTCTTAGAATTATTCCCCAACAAAAAGCTGAAATTGGACACTGATGATAAAGACGATAAGGAATTGAGCAAAACTCCCATTGCAAAGGATGATGTAGACCAGCTAAACAATAAGGAACGAAACGAAAAAACCAACGCAAATGAAAACAAAAAAGATAATAATGATGATGATGAAAAAACTGCCAACACAAAACAAAAAGAAGGTGATTCTAAAATGGAGGAAGAGGAGACATTGAAGAGATGCTTAATGGAAGACAACGATATTGAGGAAGTGAAGAAGAAACCAAAAATATCTTCTGAAGAGACGGAAACAAAATCTGACAGTAAAACTGAGGAAGATCGAAACAAGGAGGCTATTAAATCACCTGTAAAGGAAAGTAAGGAATCAACAAAGGCTTGTCTTCTGGAAACACCCTCAACATCAGCGGCGGCTGCAGCTGCTGCTGCTGCCGCGGCTCTAAGTTCTGCTGCTTACGCTAGCATAAATTCTGAGAAAAACTCCACAAAGAAAACTGCCGATGAACGTCTAATGGATGAACACGAAAAACGCATTAAACTTTTGCTTACCATGGAAACGTACATCAAAAGTATTTTGATTTTAATGCAAAAAGAGGAAAGTAACTCGCCAAATACTGGTGCAAATCAAAGTGTTCTGGACGAGACCATGGAAAGTGAACAGAATACAACACCGATACCGGAGAGTAGTGATGAAGGTGGTTGTGGTGGTAATGGTGGCGGTAACAACAATAACAATTCACAAGGCAGTGCCTTTAATTGTAATTCCACAAATAGCAGTAATAATAACATCACATCCACTTCGCCAGAAAACCAGAAGGACACAAAAAACAAAGATGAGGAAATGCCAATAAACGAAGATGATGATGATGACGACGAGCATGCGAATCGAAAGAAGAAGGAACAAAAACAAAGAAATGAACTCCAATCCAATGACAATGATATTCAGAAACAACAACAACAGCAGACTGGCCAAGTGGCAACTGCAACCACCACAACTACAACGAGTACAGCGACACATACACATAAAGCGTCTAGTGATGATATTATTAATGCAAACACGGCCTCAACGTCCACGGCTGCTAGTTCGCCGCAAATTTAGTTATCGTTCAATGATTTGTTAAATATTTTGTTTTTTGGCAAAATGCTAGATTAGCAGTGCTAAGCACTTTGACTAATTTACTTTAACCTTTTGATAATTATTTTTAAATTTAGGTTGTTTATTTTCTCTTCCCCCACTCTCTCTCTCTCTCTCTCTCTCGCTGCTGAAAGTAGGCATTATTTGCAAACATATTTTCTCCAACTCAACTATCATGCTTTTTTAATTTTAATTTAAATTAAGCTTTAAGCTAATATCTTTTTTAAACAACAACAAAAAACTATTTTTTATCCTAAAATTGTTAATAATTATAATTTTTAATAATTTCTATTTTTCCTATTTTCTCCAACTATTTTTAGCTTATTTTAAGTTTCACAGAACTTCATTATATCCCAAAGTCTTTTTTTTACTTCTTTCTTTTTTGTATGTCACCCATCACAATATACCAGGTGGACAAATATTTATGTAAAGTATAAGAAGAAAAAAGATCATGTTTTTTGTAAACACAATATTTGCTTTTAAGAAGGTATTAATTTATAATTTTCTTTTTATATAAATTCATTGCCGATAAGCATTCACAATGCATTGCATAATCTGGTAAAAAGAGAAACACATTGTAGTTTTTTGTACACTATTTGCAATTGAGAAAATATTGCAAAATTTCAATTAATTAAAATTTAAAAAAAAAAGAATTTCATAAATATGGAATAATAATTGAAGACATAAACATTTTTTCTTTTGGCTAAAGAAAACGAGAGGTGTATGGCAATACGATTTGGTTATCAATTAAGAACGCAATTTAGGCAATTCAAGCTGCATTAAAAGCAACAATAATGTCAGTTCCCCAGTAACATCAAAAAATACAGCTGTGTTAAAGGGTCTACTCATGGTCATATTTTAAAACATTGGACATACTTATGGAGTTTTAACGTAATCTCTATAAAATAACAAGACCATAGAGATAAAAATGGCGGAGCACTGTCATGAGTGGAAGGATTATGGCTTTGATTGCATCCTCGTCGTTCTTTCGCTGAATTCGCCCTTCAAACACATTAACTTTGTTTTTGGTAGGACACCCCTGAGATCCACTCATCCGATTACAATTTATTTTATTTTTATTATAAAACACAAGAAAATATAAAACACCAATGTGAATTCACCGGTTACAGGATATGCAATCGAACACAATGAAAAACATCGAACACATTTCTGTTCCGAGAAACTCTTTCCAGGAAACCTTTACCAACTTCTTTTTTTTTCTTTCCCCTTAAAAATTGAGAATATAATTTTTGAAAAAAAAAAAAAAAAACAGAATGTCAATGCAAAAAACACCAAGTTTCAAATAGATTTCTTCATCCGATCCATTATGTTCACCCTGGATACATATGAATGTCTTTAGATAGAGTTGTGAAGAAAACTCCCAATAAAAGATGTTCATACCAGGATATGTTTGAGAAGACAAATTACAATGAAATCTATACCCAAACCATAGACAAATGAAAATATAGACAACGAAACGCTCTCACCGTTTATCTTCGAAAAAAATCGAATCAGCAGATGTCGTCTATATCGTTTTAGGGGTTTGAGTGGGAATATTGAAGTCACTCAATTCTAAAACGTTAAAAATAACAAAAACTGTAGGATATTTGTCAGTTGAAAATTATTTCATAATAAAAGAAATGTGAAAAGTACGTGATGACATCGAAAAATTTGGGAATATTCCAGTGAAATTCTTGAAAAACGATAAAATGTGTTTTCGAAGTCGAGTGGCTTGAACGCGTAAATCAGCATGTTGACTATGCAAAACATGATGAGAGCCACCTGGAAAAAAAGCAAAACTAACTTTTCGTTGTCTATATCTTCATTTGTCTATGCCCAAACTACGTGCATTTCCACCTATCGACGCTCACTCTCTTGTGCGATTATACAAGACATCAAAGACATCTCTTCTTCATTCCCACATTGTCCAGGGGCTCAGAATTGTCCAGGATTATGAAAAAATGCCAAGAAAAGAGGATCATACGAGGATTTCTTTGCGAAGGCTAATGCCAATGGAATATATTTCCCATCTACGGTTGATTTCTACCTACCGAAAAGTGAGTGTCTCTCATGCGGTAATACACGACATTAATACTAGAAATGCCAAGATAAGAGGATCTTCTTAAAAAAATGAAATAAATTGGATACGTTTGAGAAGACAAATGACAATGGCAAATATTTCCCACCTGTCTGTAATGTGATAATATGGGACGAATAAGCCTTATCGAGAGATCACTGGCCAGATTACCTTGTTTAATTCACTGTTGATTCCAAACCTCAGCCATTGCCAACTTGAAATAATGAAATAATGGAGCCTGTGTGTGGACGCAATATCACTAGCCCCCTAATAAATGGATAAATGCAGAGTAGAAATTCAATTGTAATATACAAATATGACCTCATATTAAAATGAGTATTCTCGCGAGATCATTTAGTAGCCGCCTATTTCCTGTGGTAACCAAAAACCAAACAAGCTGAACGAAATCTTATATTTCAAAAAGTGTTATTTTGTACACTTGAAGTCTCCCAAGTTTATGGGATTGGAATGGAATTATATACTACTGACATCTAGACAGAATTTTTGACCTGAAAAATGATGCCGTCATGGTTAAGCTAAAATTAATTATTGATCTTTGTATTAGCTTAGATCTATTTGTATATATAGCCAGATCTTTTCGGATGAGAATTTCAACAATAGCTCACCAATCACTGCTTGGTATAAATTCAATATGGAATTATAATTGAAATATAAATATATACCAAAATAAGACAATGTCCAAAATCATCAAGCCGTTTGAACACCACTCAGCCCCAATGCACTCACTACTCGCTGCCTGAAATTGGCCTAAAAGCTGGATGTCGTTAGGGACCTGGGGCAAGCATTTCGCATTCGATATCGACTAAATTTACGATCGAATTAAGTTTTGTGTATACGATAGAATCAATCCCTCTCTCGCCAGACCTTTTTCACTTGTATTTGTAATTCGAATTATTTCAGTTATAATTCAAGAATTCTAATTGTAATTCGAATTATTTCAGTTGTTACTCGATTATTTCAATTGTAATTCTAATGATTCTATTTGTATTTCGAATCATTCCATTTGTAAGTCAAATTATTTCAATTGTTTTTTTTTTTATTATAAAATGGAACAAATGGGATAATTTGAATTACTATTGGAATAATTCAAATTACAATTGAAATAATTCAAATTACAATTGCAACCATTCGAATTACAATTGAAATTCTCGAATGGTTCTCTTGACGTGAAAATTGTGAAAATTAAAAAAATGATCTGTAAGAGATTAAAAATTAAAAAATAATTTTTCATCATCAATTAATTATGCATTTAATAAAAGAATTTTTTTAATTCATTTTAATCAAGTTCAAAAACATAAATTTTTTATGAAGCCCTCAAAATTGTATTGTATATATGAAATAGGTCCCGTAGGTTTGTCCATCTTCCATTTCCCCCCATTGACAATGAAATGTTATTAATATTCATACATAATTTCTTATTTTCTTATCAAACCTAAATAACGCTGTGTTTTTATTTGTGTTTAAGTTCTATGGTTTTACTCATATTTCTTCCTATGTAAGTTAAAGAATTTCTGGCCTAAGGTCATGATTATTAAAAAAAAATGAAATGAAAAATGAACAAAAACAACCAAACGATGTTGAGAAAATATTATTTACTTACAAAATTATAATTATGAGGTATTGTGTGTGTAAAAAAAAAAACAAAAAGAAAAAAATCACATACAAAATGTAAAATAAAAAACTAACAATACTGTGTTTTCTTTATATATTTATCTCTACTTATAAATTAATATTATATAAATAAAAATTATGAAATATAATTCAAAAAGAGAATAACCCAAGGTTGTTCTTTTGGAAACAAAGAAAATGAAAAAAACAAACACACACATACATTACACTTTTAAAATAAAAACAAAAAAGTCTAATAAATATGCAAAAAAAAAAAAACAGAAATTATTAATCTATATTTATATTGCATTGTTTCTTAATGATGAATCTTAAAATTAAGTTTAATGAAAATCATTTTATTTATATCAATATATGGATAATTGCAAAGAAGTAAATAAGATTTTATAACTAACGCAAAAAAAAAACACAAATATACAAACAGAAAAAAAAAAAAAACATTACAGCAAGAAATTTACAATTTATAGTTAAAATAAACAATAATTATAAAATAACTAAATAAAAAAATACGAAATTTGCAAAAAAATGAACGTACAAGATATTTTTATGAAAAAGGGAGCTCTATTCGAAGCATTAAAATATTTACCTTAGAAAAAATTAAAAGGTACACTAAATACTTCACCATGAGATTTTTATGTTTAGCAATTTGAATAAAGCATTTAACAACTTGGATACAATATTCAACAACGGAAAAAAAGTCTTAAACAATTAAAAGACGGCGAGGATGAACAATGTATTTAATACCGCGTACAAATTATTCGATAATATTGATACAGTGAGATAAAAAAAATGCAACTAACTTCAGATTGCTGTCATTTCTAAGCCACTCGTCCTACAGCTATTAAAATCATTCCAGTGACAGCTCATTATATTGTTTACAAGCGTACAAAAGCGTTTTGGTGAGAATTTTCCAGAAAAAAAGTTATTCGTGATGGAGTTCAAGCGATGGAGACAAGTGGCTATCGTTAGAGCACTCCAGCATTTAAATGCGAATAAATTTTTTGTGTCTCGTACCATCGCTCTTTACCGTGATACTGGTAGCGTAGCCCAACGTCAAGGAAATGGACGGAAGAAAACAGCAACGTCAGTAGAAATGGTTCGAAAAGTAAAGAAGCGACTTGATCGAAAACCCCGCAGCAGTGGCCGACAAATGGCTCGTGAGCTGAACATATCACAATATTCCATTCGGCAAATATTGAAAAATAAGCTCGGTGTAAAGCCATTGAAATTACAAAAAGTGCAAAAACTTACTCCGCAACAAAAAAAAATAGTCTCAAAAGAGCTAAACGGTTGCTTCGCTTGGCCGAAAGTGGTGAACTGCCGAATTTGGTTTTCTCCGATGAGAACACATTAGTTGTCCAGCAGTTTTTAAACAAACAAAATTATCGTGTTCACTTACCAAAGAGGTCAGCTGAAAATGTCCCCCACCAGAACTCAAGCGCCGGCCATGGTGATGGTGTGGGCCGCCATAACAGCCGATGGTCGTTCTCCGCTCGTATTAATCGACCGTGGCATCAGAATAAATGCCGAAAATTATCGAGAAAATATTCTTGAGGGTGTATTAAAGCGATCGGCATGCAAACATTTTGGTCGCAGACCTTGGACATTCCAACAGGACTTAGAACCAACGCACTCAGCACCCGCCAAGAATCGCTACAAAAGGAGATTCCTCGCGTCATTTCCAGCGCACAATGGCCACCAAAATCTCCGGATACCAATCCGTTGGACTATTGTGTCTAGAGTATTTTGGAAAGCATTTGGAATGTGAAGGTTTCATTGGCCATAGAAGGCCATATCCTAAAATTTGATGCTATTTCCGACATTTTTTGCAACAATTTGAAAAATGTGGCGTTTGACTTTGTTGCAGTTGTATCTCACCCTGTAGAAGAGGTAAGTTCCCCTATCTTCCAATTTATTTGAATTCCTTTTTTAGCTCTAATTTCTGAGGAGCAAAGATAACAAGTTAAAGTCAAATGGAATAAAATATGAAACCAAGACCTGCGAAACAATTACAATTACGTGGACCTTAATTAAAATGGCTTCGGCATAATTAGAATTAAAAATACCAAAGATTGAAAATAGACTAACGATGGTATAAAATATTCCAAGGATTAATATCAAATTCCAAGGCTCTATATTAAAACTGTCATAATATAGCTCAAAATATTTGGGTCTATTTGTGCATTTTTGGGTCATAAATAATGTTAAGTCTAGAAAATCCAAAAACTTTTCGTAGTTTTGATATATTCTGTAATTTTTCTGATAATATTAAGTTGACACATTTCGTTTGTTCAGAGACTCATATGGACATTTGATTTAGATTATTTCTTTTTCACTTTTCCTAAAAAAAATTGTATTAAGGTAATTTTTGGCTCAGATTGGAAATGGTTTAAATTTATTCATCAATAATTACCAAAGTGGAAATTTTTTCCTAAAAGCTTGTGGAACCCCATTTTATTTAACTTAATTATTTTTGAATGCTTCATTATATGGGTCTAGATGTTTTTTTTCTATGAAACTACAAAAAGATAAATACTTCGAGTTTTGCCTTGTTAAGGCGAAGATCATATGTTTTATGATTTAAGTGTTTGTTTTCTCTTTCGAGACGAGCTTAATGATCTGAAATTTGCAGTGAAATGGAAAGCCAGATAGACACTATCACACACTCACCACTATGCGACGCGTTTCGCCGTTGGTTAAGCGGCTCATCAGGCATATTTGATGTGGATGATGGCTTACAAGGGCCGTTCTCTGGAAAGTAGTATATATTTCGAACTTATTGCAAATTAGCATATGCGAATTATACACTAGAAACTCTCCAGGTTCGACTCAAGTTCTATTGGCAGATCTTGAGTCGAACCTGGAGAGTTTCTAGTGTATAATTCGCATATGCTAATTTGCAATAAGTTCGAAATATATACTACTTTCCAGAGAACGGCCCTTGTAAGCCATCATCCACATCAAATATGCCTGATGAGCCGCTTAACCAACGGCGAAACGCGTCGCATAGTGGTGAGTGTGTCATAGTGTCTATCTGGCTTTCCTTTTCACTGCAAATTTCAGATCATTAAGCTCGTCTCGAAAGAGAAAACAAACACTTAAATCATAAAACATATGATCTTCGCCTTAACAAGGCAAAACTCAAAAATTCAGCCGAGCCTGGCTGTGGGATTTGAACCGCGGACCTCTGTGTGCAGCCAACTAGAAGTTGCCGTCTCTACGTTCTGAGCCATTAACCCGTCTTCCTAAAGCAGCACTAAAACAAGTGTATGCATTGGAAGCAATGTAGTTGTTGTGGACAAAAAATCCATCACTACAAAAACAAAACGTTGCTGTGAAAAAGATCTGCCAATAGAACTTGAGTCGAACCTGGAGAGTTTCTAGTGTATAATTCGCATATGCTAATTTGCAATAAGTTCGAAATATATACTACTTTCCAGAGAACGGCCCTTGTAAGCCATCATCCACATCAAATATGCCTGATGAGCCGCTTAACCAACGGCGAAACGCGTCGCATAGTGGTGAGTGTGTGATAGTGTCTATCTGGCTTTCCTTTTCACTGCAAATTTCAGATCATTAAGCTCGTCTCGAAAGAGAAAACAAACACATAAATACTTCCTTTATAAAATTTTTCATTTGCATTTCTATCCTTTATAAAAGTTTACGTTTCACATTTTCATAGAACATGAATTGAGCACATGGACTTTAAATTCTAAGCATTTCTAGAAAACCAAAAGTATCTCAGAAATTATATGAATTTATTGGTAAATTGAGTACTGCATATATTTTTGTGGAATAAGATAACTCCTAAAATATCCTCTATTCCTCCTCTAACAAACAGTGAAAATTTGACAAACAAAGCTCCATTCGCTTCTAAGATAAAACGATTTGCAATTGGCCATTATTTTTCCAACATTTCATTCAAGTTTTGATTTATAAATCAATGAAAATGTAAAGCATAGTTTTAGGCATTTCATTTATTATGAACTTTATTTGACTTTAATAAAGCGCCCTAAAATATTCTCAACTACGTTTAACATTCAACAAAATATTGGGCAGGAGATCTGGCAACATTGTTGCAATGACTGCTATTGGAAAATGTAAAATGACTGTGTGAGCCATGTTGCGGTAACAGGCAACCAGCACCGACAAGCAGCTATATTTGGACTGAAGAAAAATTTCAAATGGTCATATCTCGGCAATGGATTGAGATATTTTTGTGAAATTTTCACGAATAGATAGGAAAAATATTAATGATTTATAGTATGTACTTTAAAAGAATGATCGAGCTAGAACAAGTGCTTATTTTATTAATAATGGTAATCATTTCCATTTCAATAAAATTAACTGGAATTTATTTTTTTTCAAATTTTGTAGATGTATTTTTTTATGAAAGAAAATTAATTACACTAATTTGCTTTGCATTTCTTAAAGTAAACATCAAAAAGTAGAGCTTTAGGTTACATTATAGGGCGCGCAATTAGTTTTTTGAGTTCATCCTGAAGACGAAGGGTTTTAAGAGAGGGATAGCAGAAGATACTTATTAACGATGCTTATCGAGGTGTTGAAGCCGGTCATTTATAGTATTCAATACGAGCTTTATTTCACGTTTCAGAGAAGAGAGCGACCTTTAAAGTAAAATGTCTGTAATTTTTTCGACTTTCCTGGATTAGTTATTCTGTATCAAATGATCGAGTGGCATATGATGGTTTTAATGAGTGATCAAAAATGCTAAAAATACAGGGTGAGATAAAAAAACTACAACAAAGTCAAACGCCATCATTTTTACATTTTTTTAATTTTATTGAATGAAAGCAAAAATGTCATCATCAAATTTTAGAATAGGTTTAGATTTGTTCGAATTGGTCACCTTTTGCACGAATTATGGCCTTCAAACGGTCAATGAAATCGTCACACGCTGCCCGAATGTTGCTCTGCGGTATTTTGGCCCATTCCCGGCGAAGCGCTTGCTTGAGGTGATCGACATTTTGGTATTTTTTAGTGTCAACCTTGCTTTCCAAAATACTCCAGACACAATAGTCCAACGGATTGGTATCCGCAGATTTTGGTGGCCATTGTGCGCTGGAAATGAAGCGAAGCAGTTCACCACTTTCGGCCAAGCGAAGCAATTCTTTAGCTCTTTTGAGTCTAGTTTCTTTCTGTTGCGGTGTAAGTTCTTGCACTTTTTGGAATTTCAATTGAATTTCATTTTTCAATTTTTGCCGAACGATAGGCACTTGTGGTTCTCCAGCCAAATATAAAGAAATCACACTATCACGCTTAAATTCCATCACGAATAACTTTTTTTCTGAAAATTCTCACCATAATGTTTTTGTACGCTTATAAACAATATATGAGCTGTCACTGGAATATTTTTAACAGCTGTCGGATGAGTGGCTTGTAAATGACAGCAGTCTGAAGTTGGTTGCAGTTTCATCATCTCACCCTGTATAGGGCCAAGTTTTCGCATATGAGGACATCTCCCTATTTTAGTTATTTCGGTGGTTTTTGGTCATATTTTCCAATAAATTTGTCTTTAACATAGGTTCTTAGGGATGGAAAACCTCTTAGCAGAGAATTTCAATGTATGAACATGTTTCCAAGTAGCCTCTATTTTTTGGCTATATTGGACACTATCATTTTTATACCCTCCAGCATACTATGGAGGGTATATTCATTTTGTCATTCCGTTTGTAACTCATCGAAATAATGACCCAACAAAGTATATATTCTTGATCAGCGTAAAATTCTAAGACGATTTAGCCATGTCCGTCTATCTGTCTGTCTGTTGTAATCACGCTATCTTTCGAACGGATTGAGATAGAAGGCTAAAATTTTGCACACATGTTTATTTTTCCAGTAGGCAGGTTAAGTTCATAAATGGGACTTGTAGGTCCACGTTTTCATATAGCCCCCATATAAAGGTACCTCCCGATATTCGGTATTTTGATGATATTAGCGACATTATTCACCAGAATTGTTTCAAATTGGGTTTTTGAAGTTCGTAATGGATACTACAGCCTAAGACAGAAAATTGTCTGTGCAGGTCCTCGTCTTCGTATAACCCCCATATAACTGTACCTCCCTATATTCGGTATTTTGATGATTTTAGCGACATTATTCACCGAAATTGCTTCAAATTTGATATTTGAAGTTCCAAACGGATAGTACAGCCTAAGACAGAAAAATTACTGTGCAGGTCCACGTCTTCGTATAGCCCCCATATAACGGTACCTCCCAATATTCGGTATTTTGATGATTTTACCGACATTATTCACCGGAATTGTTTCAAATTTGGCGTTTGAAGTTCGAAATGGATACTACAGCCTGAGACAGAAAATTGTCTGTGCAAGTCCACGTCTTCGTATGTGGACGATTTTAGGTACAATACTCACCGAAATTGTTTGAGATGTCGTATTTGAAGTACATCATGGAAGCTACAGCCTGTGACAGAAAATTGTCTATGCAGGCCCAGGTTTTCGTAAAGCTTCTATATAACGGTACATCCCTATGTGCGTTATTTTCATGATTTTGGCCACATTATTCACCGTTTATTTCAAGTTTCGAATTTGAATATGGTAATGGCTTGTGACAAACAATGCCTACGTAGGTGCACGTCGTACAGGCCCTAATATAACGGCTATATTCGGTATTTTAAAAATGTTAACAGAATTTTTGGCGAATGTTATCTTTTTCGAAAATTTTCAAATTCGTTCTAAATGGTGGAGGGTATTCAAAGTTCGGTCCGGCCGCTGCTTTTTTACTTGTCTTTTCTTAAAAAATCATAAATAAGTAAATCGATTAAATTTGGCACTCAATGCGGTGCCCAATTTTTTCTTATATATTTATTTAGGTGTAAGTCATGGTATAGCCCTAATTGATTTAGCTTTAACTTGGTTTCTCAGGGCGTTTTTTGGAGTAAAGCCGCCAACTTCATAAATTTGTCTAGAGTCTTGGACACTATCAGCTTTTTTTTTTGTTAAACGTATAAATGAGTGATGTTTTCAATTTGGCGCCCAATGTGGGCACAATTTTTTACTTATTTATATATAAAGTTTTCTTGTAGCCCTTATATAAATAAATCTGATTTTAGTTATTTTGGGGAGTCTTCACCATATTTTCCAATAATTTTTCTCAAAGTTGGTTTCTCAGGCTGAAGGATACCTCTTGCAGTAAATTTAAATATAAGACTATGTTTCGGAGTAGATCCACTGTCTCTAATTTTTTGAAGATCTTGAACATTATCAGACATTTTTCTTTTCTATTAAAAGTATGATTGGTTTAAATTTGGCGTCCAATGCGTGCAGGATTTTTTTACTTATCTATTTTTATGATTTTAGTTATTTTGAGGAGTCTTGACCAAATTTTCCAATCGATTTGGCTTTAAGTTGGTTTCACAGGGCGTAGAAGACCTCTTCGCAGTTAATTGAAATGTAAGGCTATGTTTTGGAGTAGAGCAGCTTTCTCCATTTTTTTTTTTTGAAGATGGAAGATGAATTGGGCACTATTAGACATTTTTCTTTACCTTAAAAAGGACAAAAAGACGATACTTGAAATTTGGCGCCCAATGCGGAGTGATTTTTTGTACTTATTATTTTGTTTACTTTGCGTACATTTATTGGGAGAAGAGAAATTTATTACAAAATTCTGTTTCCTGATTTCTTTCAAGGAAGTTTTCATCATATTTTGCAGCGCATTTTCGAGGAGCCTTGACCATGTTTTCCATTCTATTGGTCTTTTACTTGGTTCTCAGGGCGTATAACACCTTTTCGCAGTAAATTTCAGCGTGAGACCATTTGGCGCCCAATGCGGAGCAGATTTTTTTAATTATTATTCTGAATACTTCACGGTTCTCTGTTTTATCTACTGAAAATTTTGATCCCAAACCCGGTTTTAGTGATACGAGAACTTAAGGAAATCGTGACATATAAATTACCTGTTGATTATCACAACCGTTACATAGCTTTATTGTTATCGATAACGAACGATGACTATTTAAAAAGCGGTCATGCGCAATTCAGATAATAAAATAATTTTCACAAAGTATAGCAGCAAAAAAGAACACCGACAAAGTACCACATTTTTGTATTCCACAATCAGAAAGACTAATTCTTAAAAAAAATGCCTTGCAAAGGATGTGAAAAAGGTAAAAATATTTAATAATAATTTTTAATAACGAAAACAAAATTATTATCTGTTTTTTTGATAGACTGCAAATGCACTACAGCAAAGTGCGATGAACGCTGCAAATGTGCCAAGGATAATAAATGTAATTGTATGAATGGTGACAAGGAGGCAGCAGCTACTGGAAAATCTTGCTGTAGCAAGCAAACTAAAAGTGACTAAGTTAATGGTGAATTGGAGAAATTTTTACATCTATCATCTTTATAGAAAATATTGAAAAATAAATGTGAATTAAAAAGGTGATGCAGAAGGATTTTCAATAGCAAAGAAAAGAGGAAATATTAAATTTTCTTGTGGAAATTTTGGGTTAAGAAACTATAATGTCTTTGGTAGGTGGTCAGAGTGTCCTTGTTTCAGCGAGTAATTCTGCCAATAGGGGCGTAACTTAGGGATCAGTGCGCTTATCCTTTTGATACCCTCCAACATACATGGTATGGAACGATAGGCACTTGTGGTTCTCCAGCCAAATATAAAGAAATCACACTATCACGCTTAAATTCCATCACGAATAACTTTTTTTCTGAAAATTCTCACCATAATGTTTTTGTACGCTTATAAACAATATATGAGCTGTCACTGGAATATTTTTAACAGCTGTCGGATGAGTGGCTTGTAAATGACAGCAGTCTGAAGTTGGTTGCAGTTTCATCATCTCACCCTGTATAGGGCCAAGTTTTCGCATATGAGGACATCTCCCTATTTTAGTTATTTCGGTGGTTTTTGGTCATATTTTCCAATAAATTTGTCTTTAACATAGGTTCTTAGGGATGGAAAACCTCTTAGCAGAGAATTTCAATGTATGAACATGTTTCCAAGTAGCCTCTATTTTTTGGCTATATTGGACACTATCATTTTTATACCCTCCAGCATACTATGGAGGGTATATTCATTTTGTCATTCCGTTTGTAACTCATCGAAATAATGACCCAACAAAGTATATATTCTTGATCAGCGTAAAATTCTAAGACGATTTAGCCATGTCCGTCTATCTGTCTGTCTGTTGTAATCACGCTATCTTTCGAACGGATTGAGATAGAAGGCTAAAATTTTGCACACATGTTTATTTTTCCAGTAGGCAGGTTAAGTTCATAAATGGGACTTGTAGGTCCACGTTTTCATATAGCCCCCATATAAAGGTACCTCCCGATATTCGGTATTTTGATGATATTAGCGACATTATTCACCAGAATTGTTTCAAATTGGGTTTTTGAAGTTCGTAATGGATACTACAGCCTAAGACAGAAAATTGTCTGTGCAGGTCCTCGTCTTCGTATAACCCCCATATAACTGTACCTCCCTATATTCGGTATTTTGATGATTTTAGCGACATTATTCACCGAAATTGCTTCAAATTTGATATTTGAAGTTCCAAACGGATAGTACAGCCTAAGACAGAAAAATTACTGTGCAGGTCCACGTCTTCGTATAGCCCCCATATAACGGTACCTCCCAATATTCGGTATTTTGATGATTTTACCGACATTATTCACCGGAATTGTTTCAAATTTGGCGTTTGAAGTTCGAAATGGATACTACAGCCTGAGACAGAAAATTGTCTGTGCAAGTCCACGTCTTCGTATGTGGACGATTTTAGGTACAATACTCACCGAAATTGTTTGAGATGTCGTATTTGAAGTACATCATGGAAGCTACAGCCTGTGACAGAAAATTGTCTATGCAGGCCCAGGTTTTCGTAAAGCTTCTATATAACGGTACATCCCTATGTGCGTTATTTTCATGATTTTGGCCACATTATTCACCGTTTATTTCAAGTTTCGAATTTGAATATGGTAATGGCTTGTGACAAACAATGCCTACGTAGGTGCACGTCGTACAGGCCCTAATATAACGGCTATATTCGGTATTTTAAAAATGTTAACAGAATTTTTGGCGAATGTTATCTTTTTCGAAAATTTTCAAATTCGTTCTAAATGGTGGAGGGTATTCAAAGTTCGGTCCGGCCGCTGCTTTTTTACTTGTCTTTTCTTAAAAAATCATAAATAAGTAAATCGATTAAATTTGGCACTCAATGCGGTGCCCAATTTTTTCTTATATATTTATTTAGGTGTAAGTCATGGTATAGCCCTAATTGATTTAGCTTTAACTTGGTTTCTCAGGGCGTTTTTTGGAGTAAAGCCGCCAACTTCATAAATTTGTCTAGAGTCTTGGACACTATCAGCTTTTTTTTTTGTTAAACGTATAAATGAGTGATGTTTTCAATTTGGCGCCCAATGTGGGCACAATTTTTTACTTATTTATATATAAAGTTTTCTTGTAGCCCTTATATAAATAAATCTGATTTTAGTTATTTTGGGGAGTCTTCACCATATTTTCCAATAATTTTTCTCAAAGTTGGTTTCTCAGGCTGAAGGATACCTCTTGCAGTAAATTTAAATATAAGACTATGTTTCGGAGTAGATCCACTGTCTCTAATTTTTTGAAGATCTTGAACATTATCAGACATTTTTCTTTTCTATTAAAAGTATGATTGGTTTAAATTTGGCGTCCAATGCGTGCAGGATTTTTTTACTTATCTATTTTTATGATTTTAGTTATTTTGAGGAGTCTTGACCAAATTTTCCAATCGATTTGGCTTTAAGTTGGTTTCACAGGGCGTAGAAGACCTCTTCGCAGTTAATTGAAATGTAAGGCTATGTTTTGGAGTAGAGCAGCTTTCTCCATTTTTTTTTTTTGAAGATGGAAGATGAATTGGGCACTATTAGACATTTTTCTTTACCTTAAAAAGGACAAAAAGACGATACTTGAAATTTGGCGCCCAATGCGGAGTGATTTTTTGTACTTATTATTTTGTTTACTTTGCGTACATTTATTGGGAGAAGAGAAATTTATTACAAAATTCTGTTTCCTGATTTCTTTCAAGGAAGTTTTCATCATATTTTGCAGCGCATTTTCGAGGAGCCTTGACCATGTTTTCCATTCTATTGGTCTTTTACTTGGTTCTCAGGGCGTATAACACCTTTTCGCAGTAAATTTCAGCGTGAGACCATTTGGCGCCCAATGCGGAGCAGATTTTTTTAATTATTATTCTGAATACTTCACGGTTCTCTGTTTTATCTACTGAAAATTTTGATCCCAAACCCGGTTTTAGTGATACGAGAACTTAAGGAAATCGTGACATATAAATTACCTGTTGATTATCACAACCGTTACATAGCTTTATTGTTATCGATAACGAACGATGACTATTTAAAAAGCGGTCATGCGCAATTCAGATAATAAAATAATTTTCACAAAGTATAGCAGCAAAAAAGAACACCGACAAAGTACCACATTTTTGTATTCCACAATCAGAAAGACTAATTCTTAAAAAAAATGCCTTGCAAAGGATGTGAAAAAGGTAAAAATATTTAATAATAATTTTTAATAACGAAAACAAAATTATTATCTGTTTTTTTGATAGACTGCAAATGCACTACAGCAAAGTGCGATGAACGCTGCAAATGTGCCAAGGATAATAAATGTAATTGTATGAATGGTGACAAGGAGGCAGCAGCTACTGGAAAATCTTGCTGTAGCAAGCAAACTAAAAGTGACTAAGTTAATGGTGAATTGGAGAAATTTTTACATCTATCATCTTTATAGAAAATATTGAAAAATAAATGTGAATTAAAAAGGTGATGCAGAAGGATTTTCAATAGCAAAGAAAAGAGGAAATATTAAATTTTCTTGTGGAAATTTTGGGTTAAGAAACTATAATGTCTTTGGTAGGTGGTCAGAGTGTCCTTGTTTCAGCGAGTAATTCTGCCAATAGGGGCGTAACTTAGGGATCAGTGCGCTTATCCTTTTGATACCCTCCAACATACATGGTATGGAGGGTATATTAAGTTCATCATTCCGTTTGTAACTCAGCGAAATAATAATTTTAGGCCGATCAAATTATATATATTCTTGATCAACGTAAAATTCTAAGACGATTAAGCCCTGTTCGTCCGTCTGTTGAAATCACGCTACAGTCAGATAGGAAGCTAAAATTTTGCACAGATCTGTCTTTTGTCTGCAGGCAGGTCTAGTTCGAAGATGGGCTATATCGGCCCACGATATCGTATAGCCCCCATATAACGGTACCCCCGATATTCGGTATTTTGATGAGTTTAGCCACATTATTCAATGGAATTGTCTGAAATTGTACACAAGGAATTCTTTATGAGTACTTTACCCCCTAACAGAGAATAGTCTATATAGGTCCACGATATCTTATAGACCCCATATTCGGTATTTTCACGATTTTAGCCACATGGAATTGTCTGAAATTGTACACAAGGAGTTCCTTTTGAGTACTTTATCCCCTCGAAGAGAATTGTCTATATATAGGGCACGATATCGTATAGCCCCCATATATAACGGCACCTTCCGATATTTGGCATTTTCATGATTTTAGCCACATTTTTCAATGGAATTGTCCTAAAATCCACACAAGGAGTTCCTTGGGCGTACTTTATCTCCTGGAAGAGAATTATCTGTATAGGTTCACGATATCGCATGGCCCCCATATAAGGGTACACTCCCCCCATATTCGGACTTTTATGATTTTAGCCACAATTTTCAATGTCTTAAAATCCACACAAGGGGTTCCTTCTGAGTACTTTACCCCTTAGAAGAGAATGGTCTAAATAGGTCCACGTTTTAGTATAGTGCCCATATAACGGTACCCTCAGATATTTGGTATTTTCACGATTCTTGCGACATTATTCACCGGAATCATTTCAAATTTCGTATATAAAGTTCGGAACCGTTACTATAGCCTATGGCACAAATTATTTTATGCAGGACCACGTCTTCGTATAGCCTCCATATAGCGGTTTTCATTCGAGCGGTATTTTTCAACAGAATTTTTTGGAAATTTTTCAAGTTTCTTTCAAATGGTGTAGGGTATAAAAAGTTCGGCTTTAAATGTTAAAAATTATATAGAGGACCTTTGTAGGCGACCTTAAACTCTTCTAAATTCGTCTTTTATAGACGACCTCAAAATCGTCTTTGTAGACCTTAAGTCGTCTTGATTGTCCCTAAAGGCGTCTTTATACACAACCTTAAACCAACATTAAACACGTCCTTATCCACGACCCTATCGTCGAACACAAAGTCGTCTTCTCTATATTTTTGAAGATCTCGGACTTTATCACCCATTTTCCTTTTCTTTTAGAAGTATGATTAAGTGATGGTTTAAATTTGGTATTTTCATGATTCTTGCGACATTATTCACCGGAATCATTTCAAATTTCGTATATAAAGTTCCGAACCATTACTACAGCCTATGACACAAATTATTTTATGCAGGACCACGTCTTCGTATAGCCTCCATATAGCGGTTTTCATTCAAGCGGGATTTTTCGACAGAATTTTTTTGGAAATTTTTCAAGTTTCTTTCAAATGGTGTAGGGTATAAAAAGTTCGGCTTTAAATGTTAAAAATTATATAGAGGACCTTTGTAGGCGACCTTAAACTCTTCTAAAGTCGTCTTTTATAGACGACCTCAAAATCGTCTTTGTAGACCTTAAGCCGTCTTGATTGTCCCTAAAGGCGTCTTTATACACAACCTTAAACCAACATTAAACACGTCCTTATCCACGACCCTATCGTCGAACACAAAGTCGTCTTCTCTATATTTTTGAAGATCTCGGACTTTATCACCCATTTTCCTTTTCTTTTAGAAGTATGATTAAGTGATGGTTTATATTTGGTATTTTCATGATTCTTGCGACATTATTCACCGGAATCATTTCAAATTTCGTATATAAAGTTCCGAACCATTACTACAGCCTATGACACAAATTATTTTATGCAGGACCACGTCTTCGTATAGCCTCCATATAGCGGTTTTCATTCAAGCGGGATTTTTCGACAGAATATTTTTGGAAATTTTTCAAGTTTCTTTCAAATGGTGTAGGGTATAAAAAGTTCGGCTTTAAATGTTAAAAATTATATAGAGGACCTTTGTAGGCGACCTTAAACTCTTCTAAAGTCGTCTTTTATAGACGACCTCAAAATCGTCTTTGTAGACCTTAAGTCGTCTTGATTATCCCTAAAGGCGTCTTTATGCACAACCTTAAACCAACATTAAACACGTCCTTATCCACGACCCTATCGTCGATCCCAAAGTCGCCTTTATAGACGATCTTAAAGTCGTCTTTTAAGCGAGCTGCATAGTTTCTCACTACAGTAGCTTATGGTCATTTCCCCATATCATCTGCCTTAAGTCCCCATATAAAGACATCTTGTTTTGTGAGTTTAAAGGGATTTAATTTGTTTTTATTTAATATTTTGTTTTTTTTTTTTGTTTTGTTGGTTTGTTTACTATTTTTCAATTTAAACATTGTTTTAAATTCATCCATTAATCAATATATTTGGCAACAGTTACTGTTGCCTTCCATAACTTAGTTTTGTTGTTGCATTCTCTAACGCGAGCACACACACACACACATGCATGCTGCATGCTCATTCAATGTCTATGTCTTCGGCCGTACAATGCAAAACAAATAAAAATGTTTAGGAAATTCTATTTCATACCTTTACCATGAGTGGATATGTATAAAATAATATTTATATAAGTATGTATATATGTAGTAATTAAATTAACAGAAATCGGTAAAAAAAAAAAAAAACAAATAAAATTATTTATATAAAAAAATTCGCAATATTTAGAAAACAAAATTAAAAAAAGAGTACAAATAAATGTTTATTTTTAAATATATGCTTAATGACACATTAAAAGAAAATTAAATTAAAGCAAGCCTTCAAAGAACAACAACAACAAACGAAAAAAAAACACATTTCAAAAATGTTTCATTATTCAGTTACTTTTGGAAAACTTCCTCAACAAATGGATTGAAATTCTAAGATCGTTAACTAAAGAAAAAATATCTGATGTACCATTTAACGCCAGCGCCTTAGTTTAGAAAAAAATAATATTATTAAGTGATTTTATTTTCATTTGTTTCCTTCTGTAATTTGTTTTTAAGTTAAGCATAATTATTTTAAACTAGAATTATATCTTTAATTTTTTTTATTATGAATTTACGTGGTTACTTTAGAAACGAATGGAAAACCAAGGAGCGTAAGGGAGTGTGTGTGTGGAAATTTCATTTTGTTTAGAATAAAATCAATCCTGCTAATTAATGTACACAAAACATTTTTTTGCCAATATTATGGAGGAGTTTGTATTCCGAAAATAGGGTTTATGTCATTTCAAGGAAGAAAAGAAAATGATTTCTTAAAAAAAAATATTACAGGTTGTCTTTTCTTTTATGTTCTTCATTTAGTTATAAAAAAGTTAATTTATTTTGCAGCATTGGAAGTGTTATGGTTGTTATTTTTCTTGGATTTTCTTTTTTTACGATTCGAAACCGTAATATTTGTAGAGCCATTGGTGGCGGCTGTAGTGGCGCCCAACGATGTCGCTGCCGTGGCTGCACTGCTACCATGATTTTGTTGACTCTGTTGCCTTTGCAGGAGTTTTTGTTGTTTGGCCTCATTGCAGGTGGCTGAAAATTTACTCCATATTGATGCAAACATCGTGGGGGAATTAGAGTTGGCAGAGGCTACAGCGTTTAGATTTGGCGAGGCTAAAATACATTCATTTGGAGCAGTTTGTTTTCCCTTATCAATGTAGTTGTTGTTGTTCGTTGTGAGTTGTTGCTGCTGTTGCTTTAAATTATTACTATTAACTACCGTGGATGGTTGTGGCTGTTGTTGATTTCCAGAATTTTTCAAAAATGATGCTGATGATGATGCCGATGATGAGGATGATAATAGCATATTTGTTGCTGTTGTTGGTGGCCCTTTTTCATTATTTGCCTTGGGCTTAGCCCCTACTCCTCCTCTTCCTTCACCACCACCACCACCACTACTACTACTGTTATTTATTTTAGTTTCGCGGGCTTCTTTGGGCATTGCATTTTTGGCGTATTCTCATGAACTTTTCACCTTGCCATTAAGCGATGTGGTTCTGCCGCCACCCACTACATGCTCAGCGGCATGTGTGGCCACATGCTGTATACCCTTTTCCATGCAACCCTGATAAATGGGTTTCATAAACTGCAAATGAAAGAAACAAATATTTTAAGTGGTGTCAACAGGTTTGTCTTTAGGGGACTTACATTAATCCACAGTAACGTCGCAAAATCATCTAATTTAACACCAAAATCACTTAATTCACCGCTATATCTGTAAAACAAATAAAACATGTGAGATTAATTTTCTTTCTTTTAAAACAAAATACCAAAAAATTTTATTTTTTGTAAAAAAATAATAGTAGGGAAATCTACAGAGATCCAGAATAGTGGTCAATTGTATAAATGTAGAGGGAAATTGAAAACGTTACTGATCAACAAATCGAAATCGTGGCGAATTTTCATTTAATGATAACATAATTTACTAAATTAAAATCTACTCCAGTTGGGCATGAAACCTTTGAACTGTCTCAAGTCATGGTGTGGACCTATATTGGAACTTTCGACTTTCAATTTTTTTAAATTTCCACAGATAGTTGTGGCTTGCGAGGACGACTTGAACATGCTGTCTAATGCGACCCCAAGATCTTAAGGTAGTTAGTGGTCCCTCGACCTGTACATTATCATATCCGCGGTCCGAGTGTTAAAGTGTGTGGCCTTTGATTCTGTGGGATATATTCATATTCCTCGCATGGAAGAATGCGGCAAACTCGGCGAGTTAGGTGTTTAACGTGATGCATACAGGACCACATAGGTTACGATCACAATATCGTCTAGAGGACGCGGTGTTCCGGAAAGGGAACTCTCTGTTTCACTCTACGAGGTTTGGATTTCTTGTTCCGGAATTCAAATTGCGACTGGTGTCCACACATATAATTGACTATCCAACGTTTGAAACTAGAACGGAGGGTAGTGTTTTCAAAGACTTCGAACAGCGTGGCATGATTGACAGTGTCAAAAATCGTTAATAAGTCAAGGACCACTTCTACTGTTCTATGGCACGGACTATTCAGCAAGAATCCTCACTATGTGTGGATATGGCGTGCAATGCAATTGTGGCACTATGTTGTGGACGGAATTGTTGATGATTGGCAGCTGGATAACTTCTTGGAAGTACTCCTGGAAAGGAGTAAAGCCTGAAGAATCTTTGCTACTGGCGACAAATTGGCCTGTATGACTCTCCTTTGCTGGTATCTTTACTGACTTCAGTAGTGGGACCAACTAGCCCAATTTCGGGAACGATTAGAGTGGTTAACGGCAGACTGAGAATATTAATACGACACTCAACTCTCGGGTTATTCAGCAGTTTCAACATTGCCATTGATATTCCGTCAGAGCAAATTGCCCTTTTCATTTCTGTACGGCCCCCTCTCTGAAGAAATGCAGCAATTTTGCTTGGGAAAAATATCAAAAACCCCCAAATACTCTAAATTAGGAGATGCCTTTAGGGGCCTATACCAAAAAAATAAGAGTCTATACCATGATTTATGGTATATATTAGAGTAAGTTGGGTACTTTCGGCAACGTGGTGCGAGTTCCAATACTGCACTTTGAACATTATTATTCTGCAAGGTTTATGCGTGCATCAGGCGTTCTTCAAGAGCAATGGATGTAGGTGAGCTCCAAGAACCTTAATCAAACAACATTGTTATACATAGTCAAGATGTTCTCTATTTTATCTATGGGTCACTATTTTGATCATTCAGATCTTTCCTGACTCACCGAGGCAAGGTAGATTTATGCACCTGTATTAAAAGTAAGGCCAACATGCGTAAGGAATATTTTCGTACTAGTCTAATTTGATGTACCTGGTTGCGTTTTGACAGGTCTTGTAATCGCGGATCACAGTAAGATCATTTTAAACTTTTTCATTTACCGCAGATAGCTTGTGATGAATGCAATTAGGAGAGTTAACGGTCGAAATTCTATGACCATCGATTATCAGATTAGTTGAAGTTTCAGCTGTCCATGTGGTAGCAAGTCAGTCCTTTAATTTAATTGGAAACACGGATGGATTTAAATTGGAAAATGGCACTGGAACCGAGTTGATTTCGGCGAAAAAATTGAACCAAGCCTGCAATCCCAGCACCTATTGGAGATCTATAGCAAAAGATCAAAAAATGTAGGATAATCTGATCATTAAGCCCGCAACTATAAACTTGGAAATTCTCATCATTTATTCAAAATGAAGAGTGCAGATTAGGCTTGAAAAAAGTTTAACCCATTTTCATAAGCTACTCTATCGAGCTGTACTACAGATTACATCATAGGGCCTGTTTTAATTACCTCCGAAAAGAGCTCAACTATTTCTTAATGTTCTTCAACAAAAATTCATTTGTCACTCACTTTTCTCCTTCAAAGTTAAAATATGTTTTTCTTAAAATTTTCTTACCTTATATATGCCCACAAAGCTAATGTCAATAGGGCTATGCCCATAATTAAATTGCTGAAATTGGCAAATGTGTACATGCCCACCAGACCAAAGATGCCGCTTAGAATGTAGAAAATAACAGCCACAGCGAAATACACGGCCGGAGTACGGGCAGCTTTGAATATATTTTTGCTTTCATTGTGCGATTTGTAATTGATGTACATGTCCTCGAGGTCCGTGTCCAATTGTTGGCGGAATTTTTCTGTGAAATCTTCACCACCCATTTTGCGTTTGGCCAAAAACTGAAAGAAATAGGATAACTTAAAAAAAATCAATAATTAAAATTACAATCCCTGCCTACCTGAAACACTGCCTTATCTTTACATCTCAAATGTTCAGCTTCCAAGTGTCCTGTGCTTAAGTACGGCCGTGTTCCACCACAAACATCTTCCATGAGCTGATTGTACATTTCCTTGGCCGCAGCCATGGCTGTCAAATGATTGGCCTCAGCAGTGGCCACCAGCATACTCTTGGGTTCGGGCAGTTCATCACCCTTGTAGATGGTCATGTACGATTGGAAATATTGTATGAGATCGCGGGCACGTATACGTGCACCACCAATTTCCTTGTATACCAAATTGTCGGGCGACAATAGCATGGGCACCAAACTGCGTAGACTTTGTTTGAATTCCGGTGTTATGTCTTTGAGACGGCCATCAAAATTGGGATTGGTGGCCACATTGAGGCCGGGATGTGGCATCAGGAAACAGGCGACTTCTTGAAAACATGAGGAAATGTGACGTCTCAGCGATTGCAATTCTGGATGTTGTTTGTCCGATATTTCCAGGCGTTTCTTTAAAATCTGTTCACCACCCAAGGCACCGTATTCAGCTTCATAGGGAAAACTCCAGTCACGCACCAAAAATTGTAAACGTTGGAAGGGTTTCTTGCCCGAATCGGCCAATGCCAAACGTCCATATTCTGTGAACAGTTGAAGATGTTGCAGATCATCTTCTTGGATGTTTTGTGACAAATTATAGATTTGCACCGACGACAACATGGTACTCAATGCAAAAACTGTGGCACAATCGCGGACAGTGCTCTGGCTATCGAAAGCTCCTTGGGTGTCCAATAGAATAATGGCAATTTTATCACCATTGGGATAATCGTGAAGAAATATGTCCGACCACATGAGTATGCCGGTTGTGTCACGTTCCGAACCGCCGCGCCATGAAAAACCTGTCAAAGGTGAGTTTTCATCGCCCAACCAATCGGTGACATCATGACGAACGTACTACAATGTAGAAAAGAGATATGGCATAATCATTTTCTGAATGGGCAAGGTGATTTTATGACTTACCTTGGAGTACATATATCTGAGGAAAAAGTCCAACAGAAAACTTTTACCTTTGCGAAATGCTCCAGCCACTGAGACCACACAAACATAGCGATCTTTGACTTCCTCGCGCATCAGCACCTCGCTCAATTGATCTTCATTTAATAGAAATGTGTGCTCCTCCGATGTGGAGATAACCTGTACCGCCTCTCCAGGCATTGTGTGGTGCGTTTTTTCTGGTTAAGTGTCTAATAATGTTGAATGAATTGATTTTCCAATTATTGGAAATTGTTTAAAGGGGTATTGAGTGGTAGAGCAAGCAGAACAGCTACTCCTCCTCCTATCGGTGGTGGGTGGTAAGGACCAGATTTGAAAACAAAACAATTATGCCAATGTCTTCTTCTGCAAAAAAAAAGAAAGGGAAAAAAATTTTTTTGTAAATAATTTTCAAAAAGATTTCTAAATAAATAATTGCTTTTTACAAGATCTTTGCAAACGTCCGCGTAGGTAGCTCTGTGTGTGTATGCTTCACGTTCCTTAAATAATTACGTTGCAATATTTTCATGTTTTGACTCATAATGATTTTAGACTCTTACAAAAAAAGAGAGAATGGCTCATCATCATCACGTTCGTTTTAGTACCAAAACCATAATATATTCATGCAAAAAAAAAAGATTTGTTTAAAAATAGTTTTTCAAATATTGTGTCAGTTGTCTTTATGTTAAGAGCACTGTATGTTTTAAATTATCTACAGATGTTAGAGGGGAACCAAAGGCCTAAATTTTTGTTAGTCTATTTTTGAAGAGGCGAATCAAAGAAGGAATATTTAAAGGTGTCGCCTTGTCATTTCGACTATGTGCCGTACTCGAATGTTGTCAAACAACTGAACATTGGATATTAAGATCTATGGTAAGAATGGAAAAGGGAGATAAAGATACAGGCAAAGGAGGGAAAATGTATGATTTTATATCCTCTTCAAAAACAAATAAAAGAGATCAATAAATTTATCATTTCTTTGGAAATTCAATGAAATATTTATATTAAAACAACAAAATTGGATGATCAGCATTTAAAAGCAATTTAGCCAAATCCGTGTGTTAATCACCGTAACTTCCGAAACGAATTATCTGAAATTTTGTGTTTTCAATACGCAGTATATAGAAAAATTACATATTGAACACTGGCTTACAATCGACATTTAAAAAAGCTAAAGGTACAACCTTAAAATGTTGCACGAGCATCTCTTCTGGTGTGAAGGTGTGTGATAGGTACTGAATTCCTTAAAGGAAAACCTAATAAAAATGAGTTCCATATGGTTTACCAAATGTTCACTTTTGCAAAATGTGGCATATGTTTGCCTAACCCAGGCATATGAAAATTTTCATTTGAATATACAGTCAACACTTTCTGCAAATGCAAAATTTATGATTTTTTTTTTCAATTTTACAAGCATGATTCAAAATCTACATCATAGTATACTGGATTTAAAAAAAACTCTTCTACCATAGTGGTAAAAAATGTACTAGATTTGGTCTCATTGTTATTCAGTGAACGAATAGATTAAGTATGGGAATCGCTGTTACTGTAACAGTTCGTCTAGAATTGGAGGGTTCTTTCTGAAGAAACAATACCAAAAAAAAAGGAAAAGGAAACAGGAAGATAACTTATTTATGTGCATATAATCGGATATGGGCAGCCGGTGAAACTGCGCCATACCACACAAATCTAAAAAAAAGACGGTGGAGTGTATTGAGGGCTTTGTAGGAATGAAGAGCATCTATTAATGGCACTGGGTATAATACACTCTCTGTATGAATTGAGGACGTTACATTATCCCGGCCGAAGGTGTGCTACAATTGAACGAGTATACCAAGGAAGTTACGGCTCCAAGGAAATTACGGCAGGGTAATGGCTTCACTCTTTGCACTCTTTTCCTCTTGAAAACCTTTACGATAGCATCTAAAGTGCTGACTGATGTATCGGAAGGAGTATTTTTTATCACTGTATGATGGCTGTGGTGACTCGGCGGATAACCCGATGCACTATTTTCCTCTTGAAGCCTTTACGATAGCATCTGAAGTGCTCACGAATGAGTCGGGAGCGCTGTTTTTCATCACTGTGTGATGGCTGGAGTGACACGGCGGATAACCCGTCAGCAGGAACTGTCTAGTTAACAACGACGTTCGCAAAATACCCCACTGAGGAAAAAGTCCAGTCGCTACCAGTCCAACAAGTGCTTTGAGGACTTTATTTCTATAATTCTACTTTCTGTTTGTCGTGAAATTAGAATTGTGATTTTATGCCTGCTTTCGATGGATATATCTAACTCCAAATTTTCTCCACGAATTCAAGAGGTAATGAGCAACACGGAAGACTTTGTAGAAGATCATGTAAGATTGCCTGTGCTGTTTAAGGTAATTTGCAATCTTAGTGCTGAAACTATCTTGGTTAGTAGCATGAAATGAAAGTGCTCTTTCAGGGACGATTGTAACAGGAAGAAGTCAAATCAGACTTTGAAATTGGAATAACATAATCGGAATAACACATAAAATGGGATAACTTATTAGGTAATTGATAATTCCATGATCCTGGTCAGGAAACCCAATGAATATTGTTCCCTGGCATTGGAGTACTGAGTAGTATTAAATCCGATTGCATAACGATCCTCAGTTGCACTATACATTACATTAGTTTCTTGAGGCAGTTCTTGTTTTTATGACGAGAACGGTATTCACTCTGTATTCCAGCATTACTTCTATGAACGCGTCAGAGTGAATGCCAATTAGTCCTGCTTGTTACGCATATGTGGTTAAGATAAGTAAAGGATTTTAAAAATGGATACTATTAGAGTACGAAAACTAGTATATGGTACTAAATTTGTAATTCGGTAATAGAATAGTTATTGGTGTCTAGTGAACCCATCAAAGACAGAGCTCGTCCTTTTCACTAAAAAACGTAAATATCCTTCATTTACACCACCGAGACTAGATGGAGTCACTTTAAACCTCTCACCAGAAGCCAAATACCTTGGCACTATCCTTGACCGCCAATTAAGTTGGAGGAGGAACACCGAGGAGCGAGCTAAGAGAGGCTTGATCGCAATCTATTACTGTAAGAACTCCATAGGTAAAAGCTGGGGCCTCAAACCACACATAATTAAATGGATGTATGAGTCAATCGTTCGCCCCATTCTAATCTATGGATCTCTAGTATGGTGGCATTCTTTGAAGGAGTCAACCTACTCACGACACTTTAATAAAGTTCAGAGAGCCGCATCCCTACTAATAACGGGTGCCTTCAGGAGCACCCCTCAAGCAGCACTGGATACTTTACTTGGCCTAAGTCCGCTGAACATATATGTGGAGGAACAGGCATTCAGGAGTGCTCTTCGACTCAGAGAACTAAGTGAATGGCGCAGTCAACCCTTTGGACATTCTGCCATTCTAAGGCGTGTAAGGAATGTGGGAGAGATAGCCTATGCAAGTGATTATATTTCACCAAGATTAAGCTTCTACCCACCTGACAGAGACGCCTGGGCCCATAACAACCCACCTTTCCGCGGCATAGCTTTTTATACCGACGGTTCAAAGATGGATTGTGGTACGGGAGCTGGTGTCTTCCTATTTTGAACTGCAGGGACGCCTTGGGAAACACTGGGTTGTCCATCAAGCTCTGTTGGGTTCCTGGCCATTATAACATCCCAGGTAACGAGACTGCAGACGAATTGGCCAGACTAGGATCCGAAGCAACTACAATTGAAGTAGACAATTCGGTTAAACCACCACTGTGCCATTTCCTACAGAGAATCCAACAAAAATGGCTGGACGAAATGGGACGCACCATCTCCAAAAGAATCTGGCCCACTGTCAAAACCTGATTTAAAACTTGTGGTGGGTATCATCACAGGTCATTGTAAGGTGAGGGCTACGACCTCGAAATGGGACAGCGACGACATTGACTACTGTAGGATCTGTCAAGATGAAGAAGAAATCGAGACAGTCGAACACTTGCTCTGCCACTGCCCAGCACTCATTTATGTGAGACACAGGCTAGTGGGAGAACTAGTGTCACATAACCTGTCTTCTTTCTCCAGAAGAGCCAGAAGATTCAAGTGGCTAAAGACGACACGGCAAACTCCTCAGTCGTAGATCACACTCTACAACTTTATCTCTTATCTTCACCTCTTCTACCAACCACTTATTCCTCTTTTCTTAACATTCTTCTAGGATGAACACAATGGACCTATAGGTCTACGAATGGAGCGGTTGCCATATGGTAACCGCGCGTCCTTTAACCTAACCTAACCTATTGGTGTCTAGTAATATAAGTGCACGAAAAGTACTGAATAATATACAATTTTATATTGGAAGGATGGATTAAGCCAAAATTTTGAATTTTAAAATGAAAAACAATGATGATTTGGGAACGAAATATGGAGATGGTTTTGAAAATTTAAGCTATGAGTGAACCGAAACTACTAAATGTCTGGTATTTGGAAAACATAAATTTATGTCACCTTAGATGTGAAACTTTAAAACGTACATTTCATAATTATGTGGAAGCAATACCATTTATTTTTTAATATTTTTTCACCCATATTTTGCCATGCTACACAGAATCTGTATGTATTTAAATTGTGAATAACATAATGCACACAACAATCAACGAATGATTTTATAAATGAAGCATTTTTAATGATGGACATTTTGAGATCTTCAACTGTCGAATTGTTAGCAAAATGGACATTTTAGAACATTTGTGTTAATTGTTTAATATTTAAAAATAAATAACATAAAACTTAAAGATTGATGGAAGAAAACAATCGTATGATCGTATAATCGGATGGGTAAAATAAAAATAAAAACTATGTTATTTAGGGACGGCTATAATTAAATCGTTCTTAATTTTTTTCACAAACTCGCGATTTCGAAATGTCATTTGCGTATGGAGCACTTTGCACAGAAGAAAAACTGCCTCAAAATTTCGTTCTCATGATTGTTTCTAATTTATTTTCCCAATCCAGTTAAACGAAGACCAAATTTTTTAAGTAAATTGACGATTTCAATCACAATACAAAAATTTTAGTTGCCTTAAATTATTAAAAATCTACAGTATTTATGCAAACAAAAATTTGGTTCGATTTAAGGCAATTTGGAAACATTAACCCATTAAACTATACAGCAAATTCAGCAGACGTTTTTAGAAATTTATTTCGACAATTATAATATGTATCATGATCTCTTTATTGGGCACACACACACACACACATTTTTTTGGAAGGAGTGGAACGTGTTTCAAAATCTCTTCTCCATTGACAGTATTTTTTATATATGCAAATATTTGCCTACGTCTTAAATATGTTATATACATTTTATAATTTTTACGTTAAATATTACAAAAAC